TTCCCAAGTCGAATCCAATCCTTTGTTGAGACTAGCGAGATATCGGCGCCAGTGTCCAATTGCATCTTGACGTCGGTTCCATTGATGTTCACGTTCTTGAAGATCCGGTTGCTCTTGTTGATCCATGCGTGGTTGACTGAGATGAGTCCCAGATGTCCTCCTTGACGTCCTCTGCGGGATCCTTGGCGTTTCCGGCGGGATTTCGGGATTCGTCTGCTGTCCGTTCGGTTGCGGTTGCAGTCAGCATTCCAGTGAGGTCCTCCACAATGTCTGCATGGTGATGGTGGCTTCTGCTGCGTTGTTGGCTGTTCTGGTCGTGGTTCGGGTGTCCTCGCCTTCGGGGTCGAGGTTCTTCGTGACGTCGTTGATCGTTGTTGGTGGTGGGGGAATACAGACTTCGAGTGTCCAAAGAGAGTCTTGAGCCGGGTGATGGTCTCTTCGAGCGTCAGATCCGATGGTTTCCTTGGCAGGATGTTGTCGGCGTACATGGCGAAAGCGGGGGCATCGAGCTTTGATAGGATGATCCTGGTTTGGGTGCCGTCGTCCAATGTTGATCCATCCAGTCGCAGAATGTCCTCGTACCGTGAATACCAGATTTCGAATGTGGTTCCTTCATCCGGGTCGAAGGAGAATGTCGGTAGTCGAGTCGTCAGCGAGTCGATAAGCCCTGTTTGGGTGTTTGGTTGTGCGGGAGCGGTTGGTGAAGTGCCTGGTCGTCCCTCCATCAGCAGTTTGGTGATTTCTCGAACGAAGTCTTGGTGCTGCTTCGCTTGCTTTGCCAAGAGCAGTTTGACTGTGTTGACGTCCATGGTGCGTAGATCCTGATCGCCAGTTGTTGTGTTCCTGATCGCCAGTTGTTGTGTCCTTGTGAACGAGCCAACGTAGAGAATATATTTATTAGACACAAATATGAATAACTGATTATTGAGCGTAAAAAGGGGTTTTTATATCGCTCCTATGAAACGTGTGCCACGTGGTGTGTCACGTGACGTGTCGAGGTCACGGCTCCAACAGGTATCAATGTTGCCTTGTAAACTATTTCAATCGGCTCTGTGTCTCAAATACCGTAACCTCATAACGAATTTTTTGAGAAGAAAATATACGGACTTTTAATAGATAATGAAAATTGGATTAAACCGAAATTCTTAACATTATACCAAAGGAAACATGGATTGCACTTTTCATTGATTTTTGACTAAACCTCGATATTGAAAAAACCTTTCGGTGAGCAAAGTATTTTTCAGATATAATTAGTGCGCATGGAATAACCACGCGCTAAAACACATTACTCGACTCGAGACACTTTAATAATAAAATAAGAATAAATAAGATCAATATTATTTGCATTATATTTATAATGAAAATGTTAATAATTATGCAATCACAATTCCTAACCTACTGTTTAACAGAAAGCCCTACATTCTTAAAATCTTAACCGCCCCTCATTTTAAAAATTTATCAATTATAGCATAATTATAGAATCTCAAAGACGATTCGAATCCTTTGGACTCTGGTCGACCAAGATCCCTGGATTATAATATAATAATCAATATAATATATTTAGTGCAATTACACTATCAAAATACCTAACCTATTGCTTAACAAAACGCCCTACATTTTTAATGAAGCTCCTCATTTTAACAATTTATCAATTATAGCATAATTATAGAATCTCAAAGACGATTCGAATCCTTTGGGCTCTGGTCGACCAAGATCCCTGGATTATAAAATAATAATCAATATAATATATTTAGTGCAATTACACTATCAAAATACCTAACCTATTGCTTAACAAAACGCCCTACATTTTTAATGAAGCTCCTCATTTTAACAATTTATCAATTATAGCATAATTATAGAATCTCAAAGACGATTCGAATCCTTTGGACTCTGGTCGACCAAGATCCGTGAATTATAATAAAATAATCAAGATAATATATTTAGCGCAATTACACTATCAAAATACCTAACCTATTTCTTATCAAAAAACCCTACATTCTTAAACGAAGCTCCTCATTTTAATAATTTATCAATTATAGCACAATTATAGAATCTCAAAGACGATTCGAATCCTTTGGACTCTGGTCGACCAAGATCCGTGAATTATAATAAAATAATCAAGATAATATATTTAGCGCAATTACACTATCAAAATACCTAACCTATTTCTTATCAAAAAACCCTACATTCTTAAACGAAGCTCCTCATTTTAATAATTTATCAATTATAGCATAATTATAGAACCTCAAAGACGATTCGAATCCTTTGGACTCTGGTCGACCAAGATCCTTAGATCATAATAAAAATAATCAATATAATATATTTACTGCAATTACACTATCAAAATACCTAACCTATTGCTTAACAAAAAACCCTACATTCTTAAACGAAGCTCCTCATTTTAACAATTTATCAATTATAGCATAATTATAGAATCTCAAAGACGATTCGAATCCTTTGGGCTCTGGTCGACCAAGATCCCTGGATTATAAAATAATAATCAATATAATATATTTACTGCAATTACACTATCAAAATACCTAATCTATTGCTTAAAAAAAACCCTACATTTTTAATGAAGCTCCACATTTTAACAATTTATCAATTATAGCATAATTATAGAATCTCAAAGACGATTCGAATCCATTGGACTCTGGTCGACCAAGATCCTTGGATCATAATATAATAATCAATATAATATATTTAGCGCAATTACACTATCAAAATACCTAACCTATTGCTTAACAAAAAACCCTACATTCTTAAACGAAGCTCCTCATTTTAACAATTTATCAATTATAGCATAATTATAGAATCTCAAAGACGATTCGAATCCTTTGGACTCTGGTCGACCAAGATCCTTGGATCATAATATAATAATCAATATAATATATTTAGCGCAATTACACTATCAAAATACCTAACCTATTGCTTAACAAAAAACCCTACATTCTTAAACGAAGCTCCTCATTTTAACAATTTATCAATTATAGCATAATTATAGAATCTCAAAGACGATTCGAATCCTTTGGACTCTGGTCGACCAAGATCCTTGGATCATAATATAATAATCAATATAATATATTTAGCGCAATTACACTATCAAAATACCTAACCTATTGCTTAACAAAAAACCCTACATTCTTAAACGAAGCTCCTCATTTTAACAATTTATCAATTATAGCATAATTATAGAATCTCAAAGACGATTCGAATCCTTTGGACTCTGGTCGACCAAGATCCTTGGATCATAATATAATAATCAATATAATATATTTAGCGCAATTACACTATCAAAATTCCTAACCTATTGCTTAACAAAAAACCCTACATTCTTAAACGAAGCTCCTCATTTTAACAATTTATCAATTATAGCATAATTATAGAATCTCAAAGACGATTCGAATCCTTTGGACTCTGGTCGACCAAGATCCTTGGATCATAATATAATAATCAATATAATATATTTAGCGCAATTACACTATCAAAATTCCTAACCTATTGCTTAAAAAAAAAACAGCGTCATTAAGATATTAAAAAATCGCTCGTTGACCCCGGCCAAAAAGTGGGTGAGAGCGTCAGTTAATATGAGAGGGGAGAGGGAGGAGCCTCTCTTTTGCCCTCTTTCGGTTATGCGAGGGAACGGGTGCGAGGGAACACAGCATCAAACGATACGCAGATATCTGCGTTTATGAGGTGTTGACGACTGCTCCTAGGTGTTGTCGCGCGGGCGAATGGCTGGTGGATTTGAATATTTTCAGCGTGATTCACATACTTTGGCAAAGACTCGATTTGTTCACGAAAAAGCGCTGGTCTACAAATTCATAATCTTAGAAACGAACTAAAATATCTAGCAATCTTAAAATTTTTGTTATTTATCTCTCGTCTCTGTTGGTTTATCTCAATTAATAACCATGAAATTGCCAATTATTCTAATTAACCCTGCCAAAAAAATATTATTAAATTCGAAATTGCCATAACATTGATGGACAAAATCACAATATCGGCATATTCATTCAAAAACCGATTGCTGATAAGCATTTCTTATATGAACATTACTCTGGAACACCATATTCCGTAGCGTCTCCCTATCCCTCTACCCGCCCATTGTGAAAACCATTATAATCACGTTCACCTTTTCATCTCTATAAAGCTCTCCAAAAAGCTGCAAATACTTTCGAGCGATTCGAATTCTCGAAGATTCCTCCAATCATCCATCAAAATTGTTTTGTAAACCATAAAAACGTCTCAACTCGCAACTGCGCATGTGGCGTTTTTTGTCTTATTAAATATGTTGGACATATGGTTGAAAATTGTTTCCATCTCTTTAGCACATGGCAACATTACATTGCTCTTTTTGAAATTTATACCAATTTTTAGTCCAACTCATTTCTATACTTGTGATTAAGTTAGTTTGAAAGATAATATTACTATTAAAAACGATATTTTTTGAACTCGTAACACCATAGTAATCTATCATGCTTTTTTTGATGATAATTTTGTTCGAATAAATATAATTTTTTATTTCTAAAATGCTGTTTAAGAGATTGAAAGTGTGTGATAGTGCATGTGAAATCGGTGTATTGGAAACTATTTGACTCACATCTAAAAATTAAACGAAATTGTTAAAATTTGTATGATTTTCATGTGACTTTTTTATTCCAATTTCAAGACCAATTTCACCCACTTTGAATGAAATTGGAAGACGCAAAATATAATTTCAAAATAGAGCGCGAATGCAAAGAAAATATTCGATAGTCAACCATCAATTTCTCAATGTCTTGTGTTCGATTTCAAAAAAAAGAGGAATATTAGGCATTCCACTAATATGCCAATTATCAGAATTTATGCACCAATAATGACCATTTTCAATTTATCAGAGCTTTTGTTTGCATTGACATTTTTGTTATCGGCATGCATTGTCTGCCATATTTGCAACATTTTCTTCTTCCTCCACCATTATTTCGAATTCGTGTGTAATCTATTCATCATTTTCAGAAATGTCTGGTATCGACAAGAAAGCGAAAACAGACACTCAGAGCCATTACCGAGCAGCATTAAATCAGAACGTAAATTTTAACAAGTATTATATGCATAGAGAAAGAGCAAGTATAATTCAGAAATCTACCGGCTCCAATGTTAATTCGAGTGACTACAACTTGTGGACGTTCATGAACGGGCGTTCTGGTAATGAAAAACAGCATTCACCAAAACTTTATGAGAAAATCCAAAAGATGCACCATGAATATGTGAGTTTCAATTTGAAGTTATGCACAAACCTTTTAATTTTTCAGAATTCCGATTACCTCCAAGTATCGGAAAACAAGTCGAGACGTGATCCCGGTTTTTCTACACCGACGGAGGGCAGACGATTTGGCTCTTCAACACTGAGAGAAAATGCTAAAAATTCACATCCGCGCGATACATTGGCGAGTGCAACATACCATAGGGCGCCGAAAACTCCTCCATCACCTTGGCAATTATTAGTTGAGAAATCGGTAATTTTTTTTTATCGAAATAAAAACTTATGTGAAATTCTAAGTACATACATAGTAGACATGAAAATTAAAGCCCAACGAGGCTAAGAAATAGAAACATTTTAAAACTATTTTCTTTCGTATTCCCAAGGCCACACATTCTTTATCACTATCGAAAGTAAATATTCATCAGAGGGCCTAAAAAGGCAGCGTTGGTGACTCAATAAAGTTTTAACGAAATAAATTCATCAGCGCAAAAAGAGACGGCATGGAATTTTATAAACCAAGAACCGCACACAGTGTTAAAATAATTATTTTACTGAAAATATTTTTGAATTGAAATGAATGATTACAGATTGAAGATCGCAACAAGGAGGAGGAAAAGCTTCAGCGAGAAGTCGTTAAAGAATTTAACAAAAGAGTTATTCCAATCATTGAAAATTTGGTCAAGGATCTCATGACCGAAATAACCAAAATTGAGAGATACAACTTCACAAGAAACGTAAGAAATATTTTGTCAATTATATAAATTCACTTTGAATTGAATTGAAGTTCTACAAATATATCTTGAAAAAGGACAACATCAAATTTCGCTGCACACCAGTACCGGACGAATACTACAATGATGTAAATGATTAGTATTATTTTTTTTAATTATTTATTCAGGTAAAACAATTTGTCTTTGTTACCCTGCAATCAGTGAAGAGAAAACTGGCCCGCCAAGAATGTGGTCCAATAATGGCGCTTGAAAGGTCCTTGAGAAGAGGTGTTTTAAATGGAACTCCTCGCAAATACCAACGGTCGCTCATGTGCGTCAATTGTGGACATTATAATAATATACCGAGCTTGCATTGAATTCCAGATTCGAATATTCTCATGCCCTATTTTCACCTTCATTTTTTTTCATTCTTTCTGTCTAACGATTTGCATGTTTAAAACTATAATATTTGCCAACCATCCAACAATTACTGAACAAAGAAATGCAAATTCTTTTAAATATTTCATCATTTTTCTCAGTTTTTTTTTAACCATAATCTTTATCATTTTTCTAATTGTTATTTCCCACTTTTTGTTGCTCTTTGTTTCTTTGTTTCACACAATTGATTCTCAATTTTAGTTATCTCTTTTGAATAAGTACAATTGTCTGCCTCATAATAATTTGCGCAACTTAACTTTTTGTTTCATTGAACTGGTTTAAAAATGCTCCCCGTTGTCTTCCAATTATCGATTTTCTACGTAAAAATTGTTGACTTGTTTTCATTTGTTGTTATTTCCAATAAAACCTTTATTTTTCAAAAATCTCTTTGAAAAAACATTGGATTGTGGAGATTCCGTTTTTTGAGTTTATTAAAGACAACTAGAAGATGGCTAGCAGAATGCTGATAACAATTTATAAATGTTTTATGACTTTTAAAAAATCACCTTGAAAATTATTATTCGGATACAAGACTATTAAAAAAATTGTGATGCTTAATATCACAAATCCTGCAATTAAACATTTACTTTTGCATTTAAAAATTGGATTCTTAAATTCTTTTTTTTAATAACAAGAAGGTCCTGGGTGATAACAAATTAGTTACATTGCGTGAATTTATTGAAGCGGAGTGTATAAAAATAGCAATCATTGCGTATTGATGATAAGATTTTGTTGTTTTAAAAAATCGTTGAAAGCCGCCTATCTTCTACAAACATTCACTTTTTTTTTTGATATTTGGCTGATATTTAGTCGATTTTGATGCAAAGGGTCATATTGTTTGAAGGATTATTCATTTCCAAACAAATTTTTTAGTGCTCTGCGTCGGAAACAAAAGTGCCAAATTTCAGATTACGAGTCTATTGTTTCCCTAACTTAATGCGTTTAAAAAATCGGATAAATAATAAATAAAACAGAGCACACATAATAATTGAGATAATGAGCAATAAACCAAAAATAATGGTGGACGTGAATTGTGCCATGGCCGAATTATTCTCGGCCGCAGACAACCAACAGATGTCAGACGTCCGCATCTTTAATCCCCTGAATAGAAGCCTTACGAGAATTATCAACAATAGAGAGAGCGCAGACGAAAAATGCTTTTTTTACGCGTTATCCGCCAGACGCAACCTCGTGCGCCTAAAATTTAAGTCGCAAAGGTGAGGAATATACTATAGAATTGAAGACGAAACCGTACATATTCAGCCTTTTTGATAATGAGTTCCCAATGAATATTGATATATAACTTCGACACGTCTTTCAATTAGTGTACAAAACGTTGTTAAAAAAAGTTGGAATGTCTGAGAAATTACATAAGTTTCTATGACGAAGTGATTACAAACTTTAAATCCTCAATTCCATTAGACCAATGTATTTAGTAGCCTCTTATTTGAACGCAATTAAAATTTTGTGGTTGGGATAGCGATTATGTAATCAATCAAAAATACATATCTGAAAATGCGACTACGGCAATTCATCATTGGTCTCAAAGCGGAAGCAGTTTGGACCAAACTGTTCGATTAGTTTAACATTCAAAACATCAAAAATCGTCATTTCTAGATATTTTATTGTCGCAAATCGCAATTTATCGACATCAATTACCAAATAAAACGAGACAAAATTTGTTGAAGAAAATTTGAATATTCGTTATGGTTTGAAGCGTTGAAAAATTGATTTTTTGGAATGTTCTATTGAAGTGCTTAATTGTACAAAATTTTTCCGATATGCTTCACTCATTTTCACTGTTGCGGTTTATTAACCAACGCCAAATATTAAACATCATTTCACAAAAGATAATATCAATACAAATCTTATCAAATTGTGCTGAAAATCATTGAAATGAGTTGAATATTTGAGGAAGAGCAGTGCTGCTGCTTAAAGTCTGGTTTCAGCAACTTCGTCCGAGAGCAAAACGCGATTCTACAAAATCACATATTACTGAATGGCTCATTATGATGATTCAACTTCATCGGCATGATAGTAATCGTCGACGTCCGAATCGATGTCGATGATGATGCATCCAAAATAGCTCCAGAAAGTGGTGCTGATACGATGGAACCAGTCGCTGAAAATTTGGATTTTTGTTTTGTCTCATGAAAGCTCGACACTTACCGGAAAGATTCCGTGTGAGCATTAGCGTCTTGGATCAATTCCTGGAGTGATGTCGAGGGCTGCATGCTTCTGCAAACAAGGAATCGTACAATATCTGAGTATTAATAAGAGATATTGATTGAGAATTGTTGATCCTTGTGAACTCTCTTGCAAGTTAGGTAAACCAGGATAAACAGAACAAATAAACATGTAGTTATGGTGAGTAGAAACCTCTAATTTGTTCACACATGTTTCTTATAGGTATGTATCTGAGAGTAACCCATGGATACCGCTTATTCATCATGACACATCAATTTTAATTGAATTATGATATTGCTCGGCTTTCATAACAAACTCTCATAACAAGCTCCCGGTTCTTCGAAACTTGAGATAAGTCATTCGATAAAAAAAAGCAAAAAATTATTTTCGACGCTTACCGTATTAATTGAAGCGAATAATCATGATGATAATAAAGAATTTCTTGGAATGTGATCATTGATCACGAATAATTCTAAAATAATTTGAGCAATACGCTGATTTCTACAAATTTTGACAGCGATGAAGTGAAGAATAAAAAAATAATCCGGAAAAAACCAAAAAATCATTGACTTTAAAATTTTAAAAAAAGGAAAAATTCTGACATAATTGACAAGTTCTGCAAAAGGAAATTCGTTGTGACGGTCAAAAATAATAAATAAAATTTTGTCTCATGATATCGAAAAATCTGAAAATATTATATTGACACTGAGATCCTCTGCAAAAATCAAAATAAAAAATTGGATGAGACAGAGACGAAATTCGACAAAAATTGCTTAGAACCTTTGATAGAATAAGAAAGGATTGAATAAAACATCTTTATCATATTTAAAGGTACATTGTCCTTGGTTCACTTGCGTCATCTTTTTTTAATGTTGAGAGCCGCGTGCAATTTTCACATTGTGCGCCAGATTGTTAGCTTTTAATTTTGAATTTAATTGAGAAATTCAAAATAATTCGGCGGAATTGTCAGAAATCCGAATATTGTTCTGTATTTGTGTGATTTAATCAGGAAATTTAAACTCCAGCAACATTAATACTTACAGAATTGGTATATTGTAAATATTTTCAATGTCCGTACGTGGAAACAATTAAAAGCTTGACTCAACCTTTAAACTTTCTTCGATTAAAGGACCACAGGAAAATTGGTCAAATTTGAATGGAAAATGCAGTTGCTCAAGGAGTATCTATTTTTTTTTGTTTTTGTAATTCTCAGCTGTTTATATTAATATTCAAAATTTTAAAATCGAAATTCACGTTTGACCGACGCGATGAATGATATTCTACGTTCTACTGGCAGCGAAATGGACGGTTTTGCATTGGATTCAATAATCATCGAAAGTCAATTGGAACTATCATGTGAGTGTTGTTGCTTGTGCTTCTACTGCCGAGGTTGCGGATGCAAGTAAGTTTTTGAAAAATTCATTGAACCAAAATCTAACTAAATTTCTTGATTAGGAATCTTGTCAAGTCAATTGTCTTCATCGTCCGTTATTGCTGAAAACGAGAAATTAGTCGAATAAACGTGGGAAATATGAATTTGGAAAAGAAGATTCTAAATGTGGCGTTCATCGGCATGACCGCTTCGAACCAGGCCGATGGTCCTTCTCACCAATCCGCTACACCACCGTTAAAATCATTTTCAATAAACTATTAAAAGATCAAATTCTTTGGATTTCAACACTGTAAAAATAAAAACATATTTCATTTGAGTTCTAGTTGGCTTAGTAAAAATAGACATCCGACGATGCGGTCCGTGTTGTAATCGAGACAATGTGTTGCGAGAGAGAGGTTTTTGTAGATGCGAGCGCAAGACAATGGCAGAGGAATTCTTTTCCTTGATTTCCGAATGGGTTTGGATTCGTAATTTTGTTAAATAGATTTTTAATACTATATTAAACAGCGAAAAATAGTTCAGAATTAAAAATTTCAGAGTCTTTTTCTACAATGATTTAAAAATATTTCGTTACGGGCATGTGTGAATCTCTTTTTCCACCAATATTATAGAAACATTAGAAAAATTTTTTTTAATATGTGCTTAAGCCTATCTGTGCATTTTTATTCGGCCGTTCCATGAGTACTGTATTTCGGAGTTAAGTCTGTTGTTACAGGCTAATGAGCCTTTAAAAAATTGATCAGGAAGTATGTGTCAGCTCATATTTGATGACTTTCGATTATTTTGCATCAATAGATTCGCTATAATTGAGCCGGAACTGTTAATAATCGCTCGACTTGGTGTTTTCTTGGTACAAAAAATTTTCTGCTTAGCTACGCCCAATTTTCACAAAAAAACAGCAGCGTGCGTGATACGTGCGATTCATCAATTTGATTTCTAAGAACAATTATTTTTAGATAGCAGCAATTCTTATTTTCATACTCAATGTGTTGAAAACCATTAATTATCATAGATTTTTCGAATGAATACCGATTCTCAAATTTGTAATTTCCCAAATTTATATTGCAGCAGGCATTTTGCTTGGAGGCAAAGAAGAAAAAAATTAACAAAAAATGAAAAAAAAAACAAAAAATCAAGAAAATGCGATACAGAAAAAAAGAAAAAAAATCAAAGATACGCGTGTTTCCGTTGGATTCGCATCGAGACCCATCATATTAATAAACGGCATGCGTCTTAAAATACCGTAACATTTCATTAAAAAAAAGAGCAAAATTCCTAAAAATAAAACCGCTACGGTATTTTAAGACGCATGCCTCTTGTGATAAAATGAAATGGGCCTCGATGCGAATCCAACAAACACAAGAGCTTCTTCGATTTTGTTTCGTTTTTTTTTTGCATCGCATTTTTTTCGTATTTACTTCCTTTTTATTTTTCTGCATTGCCCCATCAAACATCAAAATGGATGGTGTATTTAATTTCATAACCAATTCTCGCGAAAATCGTGAGTCTCAAGTTTTGCAGTGATTAATCGAATTTGTCTCTACGCTCATATAACCGAAAATTCGATGCATCTTTCTTTTTGATAACTTCTATCTCATAGATGGGCGTGGTCTCATTATTAACGGCGTGCTCGTTATTCACTGATTAACTTGATCAGAGTGCAGACGCACAGGCCATCCTTCAGGCATTCGCTTCTCTTGTTTTTCTACAAGCAAGCCCGCAATTTATAATTATGTCGAAAAGGTGATACCAAATTTTTTACCGACCATTTCAAATGTGTTGCAGCGAGGTGCTTGGAAATTTTCGCTCCTTCTTCCGCAACATCATCGACTCTCGTCAGTCGACCCCGGTAGTTTAAATAAAAAATTAAATAAATGACTGAAAAAAATGGCCATTCGAATTTGATTCATTTCAGCGCGAAGCGAATTCGGCGAGCGATTCTCAACCGCTCCTCAGAGAGTAACAAGAATCTGTTTGCGGCCTATAATTATAGAATTTTTTTCAGGCAAACTCCTCTTCTCCCCGTCGATCGTCAGACTGTGGAGGTTAATCAGCTCAAACGCTTTCTGAAACCAAGAACATTCTTCCAGATTCTTCACACCTACAATCATGTGCCAAACGCGAAGCCGATTCCGGATAGCTGCGGCCAGAGTGGCGAGGTCGTCACTGTCAAAGAGAGCGGAAGTGTCTGCTAAGTAAGAAATCCGTTTGCCGAAAATTCCGTAATAATACATTTTCAGATAAAAAAACGTATCTTCAATAAGAAGTTCGGGAACAATGCCATCGAGGTTGGCAACATCCTTCAGATGGACGAGACCGTCATGGAGAAGCGTCTCGGGGTCTCGAGCAAGGTCCGCTCCGACGACAAATACTGGAATGACCGCGACGCCAACGAGAAGTAAAAGAAATCGAGGAATTGAAGGCGAATTTCGATAATCACTATTCATCGGCATATAAATACCACCTTATTTGCGAATTTTCCTAATGATTATAGAAATTGCATACCTTCGTTGATTCTGCGATATTCCCGTCCCATGCCGATTTGATTTTTTTCTAAATATTCCTAAATTTCGAAATTCAATAAACTCTTCCTTCATTCCCCCCCCCTCCCACCCAAATTAATTTCATTGTTAACATCTCCCAATCTGATTCTTTCTTTTCTTATTTGTTTTTTGATTTTCCATTTCAATATCCAGAAACCTCATTTTCTTAAATAATTTTCAATATTATTTTGTATCGAAATTCCAATAATTTTTGTTCCATTTCCCTATATAACAAAAAGTCTCCCAATCCCACTCATTTTCCTTTTTTTCCTCATTTTTTATCCTCATGTTTTTCCTCATTTTTTTATTTCCTTGAACATTTGATTGTGTAGAATATGTAGAGTTACCGTATACCAAATGCTGATTTTTTCAGTTCCTTTAAAAAAATCTCGTGAAATTCTGTTTTCAATTGTAATCTTTTGCCACCTGACCCAAATATCAATTGCTATTTTACGAGAGATCCAAGATTTAATGTATCTGATATTTTCTTGAAATCACCAATCAAAAATATTATTTTCATTCATTTTTTCATCATCATTTTCCCTTTCCCATATCCTCTAAATACCCTCTATTTTCTACTCCCAAAAATAAACACCTCAATCGGCGATTACCGTAGTCAGTGAACACGAAATCTCAAAATAGACTAGTCGGCATTAATCAGAGCGACTAATGTGCAACTACTCTTGCGGATCAAATTTGCAGACGTATGGCCACATTCAAATGTTCAGATAGGGTGATTGAACCCTAGAAAATTGAACCCGCAATGGTGCCGCCGGCCGGTACCGTGTATTTTCAATCTAGCGGCATTAATTAAGTTGTTTACATGAAATTCGCCAATTCTCGTGATTCAAGTCCTATAATTAAATAAATTTTTTGGCTGATTACAACGATGATTAATAATTTTTTTTTGAGAAAAGGAAAAGTAGAAAAGATGAGTCCACTCATTATTGATTCCGGACGTTTTTTCGAAATTGTGGGCTTGGAATTATTTAAAAAATCAAAACATGATATTTAATAGAACTCACAGAGCAAAAAATGCACTGAAATCGATAAAATGGACTAAAGGTCATGATAGAATTTTTTCAATAATAAGAGAAAGAATAAAATTGACATCGAGTAGCCTTTGCCAGAATTTTTGGCACTTAAATTATGGGCTTCACAAAATGTTGTGATAATTAGAGCTTTTGGAAATTCTTTCTTCTCTAAAATCAATCTGCTAGCAGTCGTCAACAATGATTTTATTTTATCTTTTATTCAGTACTATATTTCTCAAATTCATTGGTACGGTAAAATAGGCGCAATGAAAATGTAATTTTCAAGAATAACTCATTTAGATTCGCAGACAACTGATTACGTACCACCGGTTTTTGTTTACCCATTTCCGATATACGTTAACAGCTCGACAAAATCACTTCCAATTGTTGCGGACACCGTGGATAAAGTTCAAGGTGTTATTATACAAGGTCCTTCTGATATAACAAAACGAGAGCTTCAACTGTTTTTTGAAAATATCGAAACTATTGACAATCCGATTATCGTGAACTACAGTAATTATGAAGATCTTTCTTTTATCAAGTTGAAGTATTTGTACGAAGGCAAAAGCAGTAAGTTTTTTTTTTGCTTTTTTGGTTTTTTCAAACGATTGAATAATGATGCAAATTTCAATATGGCGAAATAGGAGTAAATTTTCATATTTGTTAATTTACTGGCAAAATGTTACATCTCATACGCTAAAAAGCAGAGACGAAACACGTAAGTCTCATTTTCTCGAGACATTATGAGATATAGCAAAGTTTTAAATTTTGATCAGTCGTTTGTGCACCATTATTTTATAAAGATTTATTAATTTATTAAATTCCAGAATTTTCCCTTTCCATAACAAATAACCAACAAATGAAGCGCACTGGTCTTGCCTACGATAAGTGTTATTATTGTCTTGGTTGGATCAAGATTGAAAATAATCCGCAATTGGATTTGACAAACGAATGCGATGCAATTATTAAAGCATACGGCTCAAATCGGAGAATCAGCGGCAATTTGCATGATTGCGGTAAAAATTAAAATAAAATTCAATAATGGATCATTGTATCGTTATAGGATGCAATATTGAAAAGAATCTTACAAAATTTTTAAACGGAATGAAAGAGAATTGTAATTGGCTTGTTGGAGAATTGAAAATAACCGATGAATTGGGTTACTATTATTTAAAGGCTTGGCATTTCTCTATCTTGTCAATTTTTGTTATTTTTTGAGTGTTTAGGAACGTCTTGTCAACATTAGCCGACTCAGCGAAAGTCTTATAATACAAAATACAACATTTACAGATTTTGGTTTCCTTAAAAATTTGGAAGTGATTGACCAATATATAGAAGGTCAGAGAATTTTTTTGAGAACACCAACATTAAATGATTTTAGAAACGGAAAGTCGTGCTAATTTAATCATAACTAAAAATTTGAAACTAAAGTCTCTTGGATTTTCGGTCAAAACGAATGGAATCACTATCGACATAAGCGAAAACCCAAAATTATGCATTTCGCCTCAAGAAATTGTCAAACTTACGGATGACAAGCAAGCTGCAGACAAAATATTCGACGTTACGATATGTGAGGATATGGAGATGCCAATAGGATACTGCATTATTCCAAAATCTGGATTGCTCAAGGATCTTCCGGAATATTGCTTATATATTTTTGGCGACTTGATAATTGACGAGAATTTTAATTTTCAAAATTCTTACAAATTAGCGGGAGTTGTCAAAATTTTCGGAAGCTTGCAAATCAAAAACACCAAACTACGAACAGGAAGCATTTTTCCCACCCTATTCACCATATATGCTATAAAACGTAAGATTTAAAGTATTTGGCAAACAAAAATCGATAAGTTCCTATCAGATGATCACCCAGCTCTTGAAATAAGTAATAACAAGTATTTGTCTGACATGTTCGATGTGCGACTAATTTCGCAGGTTTATAGGTAGCTTTTGGATTTTGTATTGAATAGTGAAAAACGACAGAAGATTTTAGCAAAATGCCAGTGATTATAACTAACAACCCACGCCTTTTTGTTGGGCCCATTAAATGCTCGTTTTTTCTCACGTGGAAACGTCCAAATGTCACAAATAATTTGGAAAATTGCGGTTAGTTAAAAAAATCCTGGGATATCCGGGACTGATGAAAGAAAAAAACAAACACATACACATTTCTAAAAGCATGGTGTTCACCGAAATATAGTATAATTACAAAATATAGGCGTTAAAAGTATGCGTGAGCCGTCCACATGTTTGAATCTCAAATTTAACATGGTAACTCATAGCAACAAGACGTTTAGAAGTGTTAACGCAACAAAAACGTCCGGTTACTGAAGACAGTATGAAAAAAGGAGATTGAGTGTTTTTTTTTTCTAGTCAAAAAATACCACAGAATCATAGATGCTACACAGAAGTTTAAACTTTTTCTTCAATTATTTGTCTAAAAAGTTTATCAATTTATTGAAACGTTTCACGTTGAAAATTGTTTTTATGTTATTGAAATATTCAGCTCATGTTGTTTCAAAACTCAATACATTGCAGAATATTCTGAGAAAAAATTAACCGTACCACACGATCCAACTCCACTCAACATTGACGCTTATCTGGGAGCCCCTCACAATTTGTTATATGCCAACGCGCCGTCAGAATTTTACAACAATTCTGGAATACAGCAAGACACAAGCAACGAAGAATCTGTAACTGAAAAGAATAGTTCAAGAAAATTCTTTTCCAGTTTTCTGATTGTCTCATTTTTTATAATTCGTTTTAGAGAACTATAAAAACTTTTAAAATGTATATGCTTTAAACTTTTTTTTTACTAACCAAACCATGAGCAGAGCCGGACGATTTAACATAAAATTACTAAAATTTGGACCATGCAAAGAAAAAAGAATATTTATTTTTTTATTTAAACTATATTATACTCCAAAGTGGCGCGGGTTTTTTTGCGAAGTTCGCAATAGAATTAATTTTTGATTTTCGGATTCATTTTTTTTCATTTTCACGCATTTTTTGTAATATTTTTTCAATCATTTGCTCAATTTTGACGATCCTTCAAAATCATTTTTCTTCAAACACATTTTTTGCACAGAAAGAAGTAGAGTCAGATTTCCCTTTTTTTCAATTCGATCACTACCTTTCAATTAATAATCCAAAATAATTCCAACCTAAAAATAATGAAGTTGTGAAATATTGGATTTACTCTCGATATTTCAATAATATGTAAAAAAAAAATATAACCAATCATAATAAAATACATATCGCGGAGAGAATACAAGACCTTTGGCTTCGATTCTTCCTCAATATTTCCAAAATATGATGGAGAATGTGGTAATTAGGATATTTGCATCTAAACAGTATGAACTTACAAAGTAAAAAAAAACAATTTATGATTAGAGAACAGTTACAATTGACTATTATGCGTCATTGTAAGCTGAATTCTCTCTCCATTGTTTTGTTTTTTTTAGTTCCAAAATAATTAATTTTAAATTGATTTATAAACCAAAAAGTGAATTTTGTCTTCGAAAAACTGTTTCAAAAGCCCGAAAGGGACAATTGAAGCAAAACAAAACAAAAAACAAGAAAAAACGAGGTAAAAAAAAAACGAAAAAATTTTGGAAAAAAATTTGCGAGGGTATTGTATATATGTATATAATGCTGGTTGATGCGTAAAAGAAAAAATGTAGAAGAAAAATCTAAAGAATACCGCTAAAGATAACGAGATAAATTGGAGTAAATGCTAATAAATTACAACAAGATATAGGTAACGATGCTGATGATGGTCAACTCGTTAAGAAATTCAAAAGGCGCTGGGTACCAAATGGCAAATTGATAATTTTGAATACAATTCCACTCATCTTGCAAAACATCATCTGGGACTAGAATGGGATGTTGGAAGAAGCCACGAACCAATGTTGCGTTCCTGCAACGGAATGCAAGCATTGTTTCGACTCCAACCCTATCGAACACGTGCACATCACGCATTATGTGGACATTAACATTATAGAAAAAACGAGAGAATGAATAAGGATTACAAAACTCTGGTGGAATGCGAACGTTTAAACCTTCACCCTGAAGAATATCATCAAGAATATTCAAGAATCTATCGGTGTCAGGGTGCAAGGTGGATGCGTAAACTTGAAGTAAAACAAGTCGATATTCGAGCGGAGTAAGATCACGAATAACAACGTCCATTGTGAGAGAGAATGACAGAACTGATGTGGCGTTCCACCCTACCTCAGCTCATATCAAAAAGAACACGCCCCTTTCTACAGTAAGACAAGCTCCGCCCACTAACAACTTTCGACTTGGGCAGGTGAGGTGTAAGGCAAGGCAAGTGAGGTGCCAAAGGCATGTGATCAAGTGGCAACATAAAAGCGAGAAAGAAAATTTAACTTTTTTTGAAACTATGAAAATTAAAAGATAGGAAAAAGTTGTGCAGCAAATAGAGAAAAAATTAGTGCATTTTTTTTAAATTTTTGTTTTTCTGCATACTTAAAAAAGCAAATACTTTACCGCATTGGCTGCGCTATTTTTGATTATCAAACAAATTTTGTATATCAATAAATATAGTATCGACAAAATAAAAGCGAATTCATCAGTTAGTTAGAGATTCATCAATGCGCTTTTTTTCGTCACACATGGCAACATTTCCAATGATAAAATATTTTTTAATGAATCCAAGTTGTAAGACTTGAACGAATTGTGCAAAATTTTGTCCTACCGGCTTCAAGATAAACTCATCTACCTACGTAGCAAAAATTACATCCAATACACCAGAAAAAATTCCAGTTTTTTTATATTCCAGTTTTTTTTTTGAAAAAAAACAAAAAGATCGTTGATCTCAAGAAGTGTTTCATTTTCAAATGTTCCACATAAATTACTATTTTATTATTCTTGAAATCTGTTATCCATTAAATTTTACATGAATCAACCAACTTCAATATTTCCAACAACAGATACCGTAAACTAATTTGAGCGTTGTGTTTGAGTTATTTTTGGCACATTTTTCCTCAAGCGTATACAGGTGTCAAAGTCGCCTCGTAAATTACTGCAATCTGCTCTGTGCCTCATTTTGAATGTGCGGGTGACAAGTGTCATAAATTCGTTTGATATTTTGCGAAATAACGAAGTGCGAACAACAAATGAGTTAATTTTTTTTACTCTTAAATGAAAATCAATACATTAAATTTGGCTGAGTTATTTTTTTATAAAGTTGGAATTCTACTAAGAAATTACGTAAAAAATATATACATCGAAATTAATTCATTAATTGAGCAATGGTGTTTTGACATACTTACAAATCTGAAAAATATATAACATTGGTTAATTTTAAATTATCGTTTAAGCTAAATAGAAACCAAATTATTGAAGCATTGCTAATTTTTACGTAATTACAGGCAAAAAAAATTTTTCGTGATATTTAACTTCATATTTCCCCAATTTTCAGAAAATCGCGTTTTTAAAGGTTGCATGTTTATATATTTCACTTTGTCAAAATTTTATTTAAGACGCTAAAGGAACTATTTTTCATTCTGAATTTTCATTTAACAACACCATTGGCTTCGTGCTAAAAATTGAAAAACGGTATTCTTTCGCTGGGGGTAAGATTAGTTCATGGAATCGTTTGTTCTACATCAATCAATTCTGAGTGTTGACACGAGTCTCGCATTGTTCTCGCTGCCATAAACATAAACATCCTTTTTGTCATTTTCGTTTGTAGTATTATCTGGTTATGAGATAAAATCAAAAAAACATAAACAACAATAGAGCGCATTTGCATTATTTGTTAACGCTTATGCAATCGTAACTCAGTTAGTTCTCAACTCATTGACACTATTTAACTTCCGCGTCGACCAGGATGTTATCCGCTCACAACAGCAAGATGGAGCACTATCTAAAACAGTTTAAAGCGGATCCCACGATTCGGCGATGCTATTCCGCCACAACACTTTTTGATTCTCATCGAACTTCTGAGGTAATTTTTGTATTCTAAAGCATCAGCTGGTATTGACGGCGTTAAACGACTGAAGTGTGGCTTATTTTTCATGCTCACGTAATTGGTATAGGTTTTCGAACTTGTAAATTGATGCGGTGAAAAATCAATAACTGCGCGTTGGCTAAAATGCAGAGTACGCAGACACGCGCACGTCTATCACCCTCGAGTTACTTGGCATGTAGCCAATATTATTTAAATCTCAGTCGTTTGGCGCCAACAATATTTGAATTTCAAATTTCTCGTAGAAAAACAACAACTGAATAATGCAAAATCAGTTGACAATATTTTCGAAGTTTTAATGACAAAGTTAACCAACTCTATAATATATTGTCGCAAAAAATTGGATATTGCAATTTGATAATTTTTTGGTACCTGACGTATGGTGTACGACGGTAGATTTACGGGAATGCATATTTTGCACTGGCCTTGCACTAATCACCTTCTAGGTGCTCATTGATATTTTCATTCTTGTCGTTTCGAAGTCCAGCCAGACTTGGCTTCGACCGAACCGAAATCGAGAATTCAAATTCGCGCGCATAGGTCGACGAGAACTAGCCGCGTTGCGTATACGTCGCGGTCGGCATCACTTTTAAATCAAATCGCGTAGAAATTAAAATAAATTGTAAATGCAATAGTTTAATATGGAAATCCTGCAATATTTGATTGAGATTGATAATGTAAAAAAAAAGTGCCTCAGGCTGGCCAAAGCCAGACCAAAATGACAAGCTAGGATAATCTAATTAATTTCGAAAAATGCGGTGATGGTGTTTAGTGATTTTTTTTAAACTGAAACGCCACAGTTATTTGAAATCACAAAATTGATTTTCAGCGCGTAGAAACGTCGGAGACCCCATCGGTTAATTGCCTATCGATGAATTGGATGCAATCATTAAATCCATACAAGTGCTTCTATCAGATCACGCTGATACCACAGGTTCTCAAATCTATTGATGAAGAGTTTCCGAAAAATCACGTGGCCCCTCACAAATGGCATGTGATTGATGATATTGTAGCGGTCGTCGACGATGTGGTCTACGTTGTTAAGCCCACGGAAAATATCAATCAAATATCACAATTAATATGGAATTGGTAATTACTGTTTGTGATTTTTATTTGAGGCAAAGAGCTTATAATTTAGGATGCTGAACAACCCGTTGGAAGATGTGTGCCCCAAAACTGGGGAGTATTGCATTTTTCACTTGATCGGCCAAAGCCCTGCATCTTATCTGCGTGTAGCAATAATTTCCTCTCATGGTGAATGTTTGACGCTGATTCAGCTCGATAACGGAAGAGTTTGTTTTGAACACTTATTAGTTTATTATTACATTTCTTTAAGCTACTTACCGTTGAGAAGCACCGAGCTCGACTCTTCCGTCTTCCAAATGAGTTGATGAAATACCACACCGTATTCCACTCGCTGAAGCTTGATGGTTCAATGGTTAGCTAATGAAAATTAAATAATTTCCAAAAAAATATATATGTTTTAGTCCTCCAACGAAATGCTATGGACCATTAAGAAAATTCGTGAGAGAAAAACAATTTTTATCAACAAGTCAGATGTGACAAGTTTGCCAGTTGTATGATTATTTCAACATAAGTGTTTAAATATAGAATTTTATAATTTTTAGGTGAATTGCTATTCGACGAAGAAGCGCTTTATGAGTGAGTCTAGTATTGAACCGATGGACAACATCGGCCAAGTGTTCGATGTAAGCTATAAAACTAATTTTAAATAATGATAAAAATACCGTTTTAGTATGATATCGATTATATCGATGATGTATTCTGGGACGAGCAATTGCCAGACATAGACCATCTCAAAAAATGCAAAGAAATCTCGGATGAATTTTTGAAGACAGAAATCCAAAAGCTGGAAAGGGACGAAAATTGGGTTCCCACCATGATTACAAAATGTGATAGTGGGGCATTTTGGCATTGCTAATCTCTCGAAACCCCAAATATTCCTAGTGAATTGTATTTCGTTCTCATTCCCTTATAACAATTATGTTTTCAGCATATTCTTCTTAGGGATTTTGTTGCATTTCATCCGTTTTCCTGGATGTTATCGTTTGCATCCTATATATTTTGATAGTTTTCAAACCTTTTGTGTATGAGGAATGTAAAAATCTATGACCCGTGTGCCTCTGGCAATACCAAAAATTTCAGCTTAATTTAAGCTGTTCGAAATTGAAACAAGCGGCTTGAACACTGGCTTTTAGATATTATGGTAAAGTTTTTTGATCAAGTTTTTTTTTCGAACATTGAATATTGTAAGTTTTGCTAGTTTACCTTTTTGTTATTTTATTTTTTATTCTGCTTCCGTTCTCCACTTCTGGAATATTTTTTTATGTACTATAAAATTATAAGCATAAGATCGCAGTTTCTGTGTGATCCTCGGCTAAATATCACCCAATCCCCACCCATCCCTCCATTGTTTTTATTTTTGGCGAGTTCTTGACCTCATTTTGGTCCACTTGTTCAAACTTTTCCCATAAAAGAGCCGTCGTCATAAAATTTTCCCTATTGATCAATAAAAGTCGTAAAATAAATGATTGCTCTCCCAAAAACCTAAAACAGTTTTCCCTTTCTGTAACTAAGGGCTATCCACCTAAAATTGAATATATTTATTTCATACTTTCCAAGATTGCATATATTAATTCAATTAATTGCAATATCATTAAAAATCTGCTAAGCTCGCATATTTCGATGATAACATTATAAGAACCATTACGTGAACGTGCAAAGCTTTAGTTGTATAATTAATGCATAATATGCGAATGGCAAACATCCAAACCACATTTACTGATGACTAATATACCTGAGTGTTTTTAGTTATTTAATTTGGAAAACTTATTCTAAATTTTCAAAGTTTATTATGCAAAAGGAAAAAAATCTATTCATTTTTATTTCAAAAGTATCAACATCTTAATGCCACAATTAAAAAAAAAACTAAGACAGAATGTAATGGTGACGTAAAAATTTCGAGACATTGTTTTTATTTATTTTTTATTGTTTTGCACGAGACAGTGGCAAGAAGAATTGGTTTTTATTGCGGTCAAGTTTATAAGTAAAAAATTGCCTATTTAACACATTTATTTAAATAAAAATTCTAAAAATTCGTCCAAAAATCTTTTCAATGGAATTTGTTGGTTCCTTTATTATCTTTTCAATACACTCGACTTCCATTGTTCTCAATGAAACAAAAAAGACTACTAAGAAAATTATGCTATCTGGCCGTGCATTGTTATGATAAAGGGCAGCCTTATCTGGAAATAAACTTTCAAATATGCGGTTTTTGATATCGGTTACATGCTGAAGAATTTGGCAAAAGTGTCAGCCTCGTATCAAATGCGTGTTTTTTTTTAATGTCTATTATAAAAAAACGATATAAACTCACTAATTCCCCTTATATTTTTTCTAAAGAGTTTGGTTTTGAAAACCAATTATTGTTGCAAAGTGCACTGTTTACAACGTTTTTTAAATGGCCAACGTGCCTGGGAAAATTTAACTGTTTTTATTTGTGACCGGCAAAAACAGTTGAACGATGGGAAATAAAGTGCAACACGTCCTTTGATGCTCCAGTTACATTGGAAAATGAAACGATGTTGACAATATAGTCCCAAAAACTACACCTCTGTGTATTTCATTTTATGCTGATTTTTTTTGTTCAAATTTTCTTATTTCTTACGTCATTGTTCACGATGTGGCATCGCCCACATTTTCGGCGATTCCTTCAATTTTTTTTTCGTTTCCCTTATTTTTCATCGTGACGACAGTTTGATCGTTATTTTCGCATAAAAATTGGCAATAAAGACAAATATGTGCCACCAAATATAATCGAAACGATCGGAAAAGGGAAGCGTCGCATTTGATACCAAATAAATTGTCGCCTCGCCAGTTAGTTTCGTTTCAAATTTGTTCTTTCATTTCATTTCAATTCGTTGGTGTATCAGACAATTGCGAGCCATTTCCCAAAACAATCACCTATTGTCGCAATTGTCTACTTTTTCCAAAATTTCCTCTTACCGCAATCGTTCCATTCGTGAGTATGTATATCGACTACTGCACACATTTTTCCGTTATCAAAAACGCGTCTTTTTGATTTCTTGATTGTGCTCCCGTTTCATTATTGTTGAGAATGCGGTGGTGTCTGGCAATATTCCGAAGAGTAGATCAACATGCTCACCGGGTGATCCACACGTTAGTCATTGAAACGTGCTTCAAATATTCTAAACTCATTAAACTATTTTATACTTTATACAAATTCTTTTGAATAATTTTTTGCAGTATTTGTTTGTCTTCTTTGCGTGTCACAATGGCTCGACTCCGCCCACTTGCGATGTAACATTAATGGGGCGACACCACGCCCCTTTGCGGCGCATTGTGTTCACGGCGAACGTTTTTTTTGCTCTTTCACATTTCGTTTCTTATCATTCATTCTTTATCAGCTTATTCAATTTCTTGTCTTTGCAGTTGAACTTGGTGTTTACAAAAGAGTTTTCTCAAAGTCTTTCGAGATAATCATGGCTGATATGGTAAGACAATTTCTGATGCATTAAATAATTTTACAATTTTTTCACAGGGGCAGCCTTTGGATGAAGAAATCATCGAACTGCCAGATATATTTATTATAAATGATCCGGATAATGGCAATGAGTATGAAGCTGACGATATGGACCTTCCCGTTGAAGATGATCAGGAGGAGGAGGAGGAGGAGGATGACGACGAGGAAAATGATGAGGGCGATCGCATTCAAATTATTGAGGATCCAGCTTTGATGGTTATGCAGCCACACCAACGCATTCCTGAGTTGTCAATGGAGTAAGCACCTTATCGATAAACTCAAAGTTTGAGAATCTTTTTCAGCGTCACCGGTTACAATGTTCCAATTGGCGGTATTCACTATTCTGCTGTCGTCGACGTTCACTGCTATGACCGCATGGTCTGGAAAAAGTTCTGCAATTTGGAAATTTGGACGCATGAGGCTTATAAGCAGCAGATTAATTCCATTACAGCGAGTGCATTTGAAAGAGTAAGAATCTAAGTTCATTTTAACATTTTGTATAATTGTTCGTAGTTCTCCTTTCACGATCGTGTGAGCTTCACTGATGTACCTATTGATCGCAATCTGATTGAATATCTTTGGAAAGAAGCTGACTTCAGGTAGCGATTTGTTATGAATTACTGAATGCATTCACTTTTACAGCAACGTCCGACGACTCGAATTTCACCGATGCACGTTCGAAGTCGACACGTTCAAAATTCAATACTTTTTGTGTTCGCTCCAAATCTCGGTTCTCGTCTTCGATAAATGCACCATCGACCCAGCAGTCTTCAGCGATGTGGTATTCGAACGGACTTCAGAGAAATTTAAAAAAAATTGACAAATGTCAGGTTTTCAATCGAATGTGCTCACTTCGCGAAATCGTCGTCATTATGAAGGATCCATACACCGCCTTGCCGCATATCTCGGACTTCACTTTTCATCACTGGTCGTTTTATGGCACCCCTCGCGGTTTGACATTTTTGAATTGCGTCTTCCCCAACGTCTCGCCAAATGTGTTGCAACAGCTTGCCGTGGTAAACCACAATTCATTTTTTTGAGTTATCTATAACTTAGTCAATTTAGACGTGTCAGCAATTCAATAAATGGCTGAATATTCACGATCGCATCGAAAATTGAGGCAATCAAATGATTGGCATTGGCCGGGTCGTCATCGGTTTTCTTGGGTCCTCGGCTACCTCTTCCATCGAAAAACTACAAAAATGTTTATCTTTCAAGTTCAATATTTTAAATTAATAATTTGATTAACGATATAATGGATTTAACCGGCATAATAAAATTGTAAACCCATTTTAAGCACCCCTTATTTCCTTTTTCTTTTACCAAATGCTCTCAAAAAATGTTTCTATTCATTTTTCTAATCCCCCCCCCTGCTTCTAATTCTATCACATATCATTGAATTGATACTACCAGCATAATTCAATCTTCTCCCATATTTCATTTCTAATATTGCTATAATATATTTTTTTTCAATTAATAAAGAAATTCATCGAAACATCTAAATTTGCTCTAGAAAGAGAAAATGTCAACCGAATCGTATGATTCATCGATATATCATCACCTAAACGACTCTGCTGGCGATTGCAATTATTTTTTCTGCATTTTCACAGTGAGCAATGTTGACTAACACCACTGCGTTCTGCCCTGATGAAATTTTTTTGTTCTCGAACATTATTGCGGGCTATTGGCATGCGAGGGACGTTGCTTTTGCATTGCTACCGATTTTGATTACCATCTTTTACTCGTATTACCTGATCTTGTGTTTTTTTTTAATATGGTCCCTCGTATGACTGTCGTACACTATTTGCCCCTGAAAGAGTGTCGCAACCCTCTCGATTTATCCACTTTTGCAAGAAGAATAAATTAATTTGTCTGTTTTTTTTTTTCATTCACATCTATTTCGAAGTTAATAAATTTTTGCAGGTTGAATCGACGAAAAGCTATGGACAGGCTTTTTTATGTCGGAAGCTTATGCTCGCAATGAAGAATCTTCTTCTGTGATTAACTTATCATGAATTTTAAAGGTAATTGAAATGAAAACTTGCCTCAACACTGCATTAATTTTGGGGTTGTTTTCTATCTTTTTCGTCAATGTATTGCTACACAGAAACGTATGAAAACATACGAACATAATTATTACCTAAAAGCATAGGTGGGTTGTCTAGCAAGGATATCGAATCAAATCTTTTTTTGCATAGTTTTATTTGCCCCATAGTCAACGATTAGAAGCTTTCGATTTAAATGTAAGTTGTGATTTTGCAAAAATTGAGAGAATCAAATATTCGTACATTTTAATATGTTTTATGTGTTTCTGCGTACAAATCCAATTATTATTACGGTATGCAAACAACAGGGAGGGGCTCGAACGCCGCGCGTGCGCCAATTTTACAATAAAATTGTTGAGTTTATGTATGGGAAGAAAGTAGTAATTGTACGAAAAATAAAGAAAGTCCAGAATCCTTTGAACACATAGACTGATAAAAAAACCCTTTTCCCTTATGAGGGTCCCCACAATTGGTGGAAAGCGTTTTTGAAAATGACGTGCTCACATTGGTCGACTGAGTATAACTCATGTAATTGAGTCATTGGTTTTCTTGAGCCTTAAGATATATGACTGTTGGTGCACATCCGAAAAATGAGTTCATTTGTCTTTGCGCTATATATTTTTTCCATATTGGTGCTCGTCATCGAAATCGACACCGCTTTTTTTTAATGTCGCGCTTAGAATGGGCCGAACAAATTCATCGATTTTGTGGCGTCTTCCCAACATTTGTGGCGACAATTCACGACACTCTGCTATTCTTCTCAAAATTTTTTTTTCTTAATACATTGAACATCTGGAAACCTTCTGGACTGTGCTTTTGTTCAGCAGCGCAAAAAAAAAACAAAAGGGGCGCGTCTAAATTTGAATATGGACACATGTCCCAATGGTTCGTCGCCGATAGCGATTGCTGTCTAGCGCGCGTGTTCACACGCATGCGCGACTCTTTACTACCTTGGCCGCCACAATCATGTGCCCTTATATCATCTTATTGCCGCTTTTTTTAATTCAAATTGCGTGTTCTTCCCATTCTTTCGTATTTTTCGTCGTACAATTTGTGCAACAATTCATCTTTATGAGAAAAGAAAGAGCGGCATCGATAAAAAAAATATATATCCATATCATTTAAAGGGACAAAAATGCTGCATTATAATGCAAATTTAGAGTTTCGTTTTGATAGACAATTTTTGACCTTTTCAAGTTAAATTCTTGATTTGGGGACTACGACTAGCTTGATCAATAATCCGTGCTGGGAGAGGGGTACACTTCCCTGCCATAATGTCATCACTGTCGGCAGCTCTATGAATCATCCCCCGTTTCTCTCCATTGGCCGCCTTTCTTCTTTCTGTCTGCCTCTATACATCAATTGCTACCGCTTCTTTTATTTCAGACGATGATTTGGATGATCCACAAGTTCCGCGACCTTCCACTTGTTTCCAAGGTTCAAATTCTTAAGATGCTCGTTGACGAGGATCCGGATTACGTCGATGTCGTCAACTGGGTCATGGATCGATTCGCACAAGGCGATATTACAAAAATTGTGTACGTTTTAAAATCAACATTTTTTTTTGGCGTGTTCAAGACATCATCAATGTTTGCTTGCAGTGTTCAAGCGGCTTCGATCATTAGCACGATTCATCGCATCGTATTCGTCATGAAGAAGCCAAAGGAATCGGTTGCTCTTGAGTGGGACATGTTCTTCGAGGAGGATCACTCGGAGACTGTTGAGGGATTGACTGAAGTGTTTCTGTTTGAGGTTGATGCGAAAGAATTCGAGAAAGAAAATCTAACAATTTCAGCGTCTCATCGGTCAAATCAGCGCCAAGACACTCAAACTCGACGTTCATCTTTACACTGCGTTGGCCCCCAAAAGACTCAATGAAAGGTTCAATTTCAAATTTTTCATTTTTATAGAAAAATATAATTTGAAAATCGATGTTGTCGAAAAATGCAACGATTTGTTTTTGATTGAATCCAATAGACACCGATCTGATTGAATTTTTTGTTTTGCAAACAATAGTCACAATAATTGCATCGCCTATTCGTTTTGAATTATAAATTTCTAAGAAAAGCGAGGTTTCTCAAAAAAAAAAAAAACAATGAGATTGCGTAATGCGTTGTGTGAACAAATCCGCTTTTCATTAGTTTTGCAGGATGAAAGAAAAATGAAAACCCAAGCTCGTTAAATAAAAACAACAGCGAATTTTCTCTACTCATTGCCATTTTCTGTTTTACATGGCAATTCGACTGTTTTCAGCCTCATCACTAAAGGCAGCGCTACAACATACATTATCAATCTCAGTGAGGCTGAATTTTACAATATCGTCGCAATGATTCCAATCAAAAAATATAAGGTTTCAAAGAAGAACGATGGAATCATCGTTGGCTCGGAGCAGGTGATTATTTGAGTATTATTAGAATCGAAGCACCCGGTTTGCAATTTTTTTGTCGTTTTTAAATTTTTTCTTAATGTTGTGGAAAAAAACTTTCACTGTTAAAAATAATAAAGGAAGAATTTGGCAATAGAACAAATCGCATCCACTGCATAAAGATTTTAAATTTCTAGAGAAATTGCCAAATTTGTCGAGCCTTTCGCATAATACCGCAACCGAAAAAGGCGTTTGCCAAAATATCGAAATTTTTGGAAAACTCGGTTGCCTCGCTACCCTCATATAAAGCGAACTCTTCAATGCATTGATGGATTCATGGAATCTATTCCGTTTTTCAAAAAAAAATGTAAAAAATTGCATTAAATGTGCATTTTTTAAAATTTGACCTAAGCCATTTTGTCTTGTTCTCATTTACTTTTGACTGCGTAATACACCTGCTGCAAAACTACAGTGTACTTCAAAGGCGCACACAAAAATATACATAGTATGTCCCTGGCGAGTATAAGAGACGTAGTATATTGCCAACTGATTATTGGAATATTTACGAGGTGGGATTTACTTCAGCTAGTGATAGCGAAAATAGAGAGACAGCAGATAGATCAACAAAATGTTCAAATCGCAGTTTTTCGCGCCATGACTCCTTGCCACGCGACATTGCAAAGCGAAATCTTATGCGTATTTCATGCATACATATCGCAGTTTCGAGGAATATACTATTGTTACTTTTTACATATCACTATCAAAATTTTTTGCAGGTATTTGTTCGATTACCAAACTGGACAGATGTCGATGCCATGGAGAAAATGTCAATTTTGGGGGTCGACGTCTCGATTACCTCTTTCATCGGAAATCATGTCATCTCCGGCAAAAATGTTGCCAATAATGCCTTCATCATTCCTACTGCCATTTTCACAGAAAATGTCATCAGAACAATGAAAATGGTAATATTTTAATATTAATAATAAAATGATATAGATGGCGTCCGGCGACTGCTGAAAGCGGGTAGATTTACGCGCATTCGTCTTAAAAGGTCTCGCCACAAAATGCTATATTTTTGTAAACGCCTATTTTGATGTTTCGCGTGAACGGTTAATTTTTTCTTGTTGAGTTTGGCATTTCTTGGAATTTCTAACGTCGTTCAAAAATTATCGAACCGGCCTAAAAAATGCGGAATAGCCTGTTAGTCCGTGCGAGACCAAAAGAAATGAGCATCCCCGAAAATCTGCCCGCATACAGCAATCGCGGGACTCCGACTATATTTTACTATAAAACAAACATTATATGAATGATGATGTCATACGCATTGCAGTTTGCAGGCGATCCCTTTTTTTTTCAAATTTTGTGAACCTCGTTAATATAAGTTTATAACTAGTTTTCTGGAATGTACTTAGAATCATTATTTTCAAATATTATTGGAGTTTGATGAACTAAAAATCGAAAACTCATAAAAATAACTACATCGAGGCTGCACACGAACCGCACGCCTCCGAAAACGTAAGTCTCGAGATTTGAAGTAGCTTTTTGTTCACAAACTGACTTTACTCTTGTTTTCAGAGAGCCGTCTCGACAATCAATGCCGTCAGTGGCTTCAACTCGCGCATGCTCAACAAGGCAGACTTGGTCAATGAGCTTCATTTGGAATAGGAATCGAGAATCGTACATATTGTGGCTCTCATACCTGCTTAAAATTGTCTTTTTTCTATAATTATGTCGCTTGTGAAACTAATTTTGCATTTTTTTCACATAATTCTTTTTTCTATATTTCAATAAAATATGTTTTTTGAAAGTCATTTCACCTTTTTGTTTCATTGCAATGTTCTATTTCATTCGTTTATATTTATTTACATCAGTTGATTTATTAAGAAGCCATGTTTTCGATTTTTCAGGCAGAATGTCGCTCATTGACCTTTCAGCGGACGTTGCTGACAAGATCTGTGAATATCTGACTCAACAAGAAATGTCAGTGCTCCGAGGAACCTGTCAGACCATCAAAAGGTACCTCGACAAATCAATCTTTTTCAAGCAATCGGAAATTTCACTTCAGTACGTAATTTGTTGTTGCTAATCGGATATTGAATTTCGCTTCAGGTTTTCTGCTCACAAGTCGAAAAAGATAGGTATTGTTGATTTATATGCAATTAGAGGGACGACTGGAATTAGGCACAAAGCGGAGATCTTGCTTACTTCTAATTACCAAGAGGAAATAAACAGATTTGTGTGTGACCACATGAAAGCGGTTCGTTTCACAGTTTTCTTTATTTCAAATTATGATTTTTTGTCATACAAGTGTGTTGACATTAAGTACACGTTTTCAGGTAAGCATATTAGGTAACATTGAATTTGTTGACATGAAGCTGCCAACATCTCTATTCGATGCTTTGGCACAGACAAATTTTGAGAAGAGGTTTAGTTTCAAACTCAATTTTTTTCATAAATATTGCAGGTCGTTTATAGCCACATTACCGGAATCTTCTTCACCCAGTGTTATGTCCAAACAAGCGTCGACAGTTTTCTCGGATTCATGAACCTTTTCTCGATCAAGGAGTTCGAAATTGTTGATTGTGAACTCGATTCTTCCATCATCACAAGTGAAGTAAAAAAACTTTGATGTTCAAATGTGAGCTTCAATCATCCTATTTTAGCTTATTACTGGGCAGGCAAGACTTGAGGTTTTCTTGGTTTGGCCTGTCAGGAAGAAGGTGTTGCGCTCGCTCAATGACGCCCTTCTTCGCCATTGGTTGACGTGCGATCAGTTACCGCGAAAATTTTTGCTTAAGAATTGCCGTGCCGGATTTAGTGACATTGCCAAAAACCACTTCATGGCTGTATAAGAAATTAATCGTTTCACGAGGATATATTTAGTGTATTGCAGGAACTTCAGAGACGCTTGGGTCCGCGCTCTTTTCGCTTCATCGACATTCTCGAAACAAGATTTGAAGTTTTTGCTACTGCTCCGATCCGCTAGGCCCAGTAGACTCATGACGTCTCGATACCGATTTTCATTAATATTTATTACCAATATTTTTCGCGGCACGTGAAAAATGGATTCTGTAAATTTTACTGCTTCCAATCAGTTATAATTAATTATAATTTACCGCCTCCTCAATCATTGTTGTGAAATTATCCGCACTTTTTCTGCGATTAACTAGCCTCATATATCACGGTTATTAAAGTTATTAAAAATTAAAACAAAATATATATGGATATACATAATGTATTAAATATTTTGTTTCTCTTTTAACTAAGTTAAATGATAAATAAATTTGTGAAATGAGGTTTTCAATTATTTTTTTTTTAATTGACAAAGAGTTTGAAAGTATGAAAGTTAAAATTTACTTAAATCTATGGTTTAAATAAAACCATTTTCTGGGTGTTTTCGATAAATCGGTCTTCAGAAATGTTGGGATATTTTCATTAACAAGTGCACATTCAATAGAACTGGCTCTCAGAAATGCTCAGTTTCACCAGCAGATTCAAACACAAATGTTTTGCATTTTAAAAAATGGGTAATCGTTTTCCAATCTCTTCCTTCTTTCATTGCAATTTGTTTGCAGGTGCCTATATTTCACAATGTGCTTCAATCTGTCTATTCAAATATATTAATTGCTATCTTTCTCTCCTGAGACCTATTGAAATAATTGTTCAACGTCGCGAAGGTGGATTTGTGTAAAGCGTGCCGAATGAGAAATGAGTATCGATGTGATAGCGAGCGAATCAAATTAGTTTCCAATCATTTTTCGCTTTTAATTTATGTTCATTTTTCCACGGAAAATTTTTTGAAAAAGCTTAAGTGGGATTCTTGGAGTTGCCGGAAAAAAGATTCAAACTATACAGCGTTCAAGCACCAATTTTATGACATCGCGGAGGTGTTTGGTTGCCGGATGAACACCGCCGACTCAAACATTTTGTTCGCAAAAATTTGCTTTCTACTAATTCTTCCTAGCAAGCAGCTGATACCTCATCTTAAGATAAATTAGTTTATACCTTTATAGTCGGCGTCCGGTGACTGATGTACACTGCGTAGATTTTCGACGGTCCGGTCCTTCATTCACCATGATCGCATTTTTTCTTTACCTTGAACTGCAGTTTCTTGACAAAATCATCGAAATGACTTCTATAACAGTCAGATAGGCTCCGCGCGAGATCATAGTGAAACGGCTCGTAAATCTGCCCCGCTTTCACCAAGCTCCGAACGCCGACTAAAAGCAGACAAGAATAACTCAAGTTTTCAATGTTTGATTCCTCGAAACTTTCGCCGACGACAAGATAAATTGTTCTCTGTGCTCTTTTTTTCTTAGACTCGTCAAATGTTGCCAACACCCCCAACTCATCACTCAGACAATTATTAATCATTTTGGGGAGATTTGCGACAGATACTTCTCCCCCCCCCTCCTTCCCCGATATATTTTTTCTACATCTACACACTTACACCATCGTTTCTTTTTTGTGATTATTTTTTGTTGAGCTTTTTGAAACGTGATAAAATCGAGGATCGGCCTTCGCCTTACGGTGAAATCTGATAGTAGTCAAAAGCAACATGATATGATATATTATGAAAAACGAGTGATTGTGTACAAGGATTCAGACATGTGCTACTACATTCAAATTGTCTTCTCGGCCCCGACTTCATCGCTTTTTATCGATTTTCATATTCCCACCGAGCTTCGTTTTCTCGTTTGAACATTTGATAGAGATATATACCGGAACTCATACTTTCACGCCTTCTCTTCCGGGCGTTCAATTGCTTTAAATCATCTTTGAGCTTTTGAAAAAAAATCTCCTTGATATTGCCAGAGTCGTTTCGTCATTCAGTTGTGATGCAATTTGATGGAAATTAGCTGTTGCCTCTGTCTCGAAGGTAGTTTGCCAACTCATACAAACTGCATAAATCGTTTATGACTTAGGCACTCGAATTATCATTGATGACGACTTTAGTGGGGAGGATGAGGGTGGATCTTACAAATGCTGCCAAGGTGACGTGCATATCAAGGTAAATAATTATTCGTTTTTTTTCCGTGTTGAGTCTTGAATTAGTATGTAGTAGACAGTTTTTGTGTAATCGTGATAGTAAAAACCTTCATTTTTGTTATTCATCTCCTAGAGTTTCCATGTTGTTGTTTCTCAACGAGTTTCTTCGAAATTTCAGAGAGCCTGCTTTTACGTGGCCATCTCAGCACTAATTGTATGTGCATTCTCATCAGGTTGTATGCTTTTCGGAGTTTACACAGTCAATCTATGGTTCGATATTTTCCTCATTGTTCTGAATACGGTAAGTCAATTTCACAGTATATATATGTACAATTATATCCATTAATTAGGTTGTGGCAATTATCATGATGATCGGTTTATATTATGATAAAGCCGTGCTGTTACTTCCATTTATAGTATCTGAAGTACGTTTGAACTTGACTATTGATTTTTTTAAATAACATATTTAAGATTATGCAATGCGCTGTATTTTTCTTTCTAGCCAACTACGTTTTATATTACACAATTACGATAAAACGACAACGATTTTATCAAAAATTTGGTTAGTTTTCACTCAAAATTTTATTGCATTAATAAATGATGCATTTTCAGACCAAATGCTGATGGTTGTATCAATATATCTTGGTATCATAATTTGCATCGGTGCAATTTGGGCGGCCACAAAATGCTATCATTATTTGCGGCAGAAAGCGCAAGGCATTTACGTCGACACCGGGCAAAGGTGTATGTGGGAGTAACAAAAAACCTTTAAATTTAAATTGATACTCAATTCTGTAAACTGGCTAATATAAATCTTTTTTTTTTTTTTTCAAAAAAAATTGTTTTTAATCTTTTTTGATTTATTATCTAACAATAATATAAATTATACCCAATAAAACATCTGAAGAGATAATGAAATTGTGTAATATGTGGAAAAGGGTCGCTAACTATCTGAAAAATGATTTTTAAACTCTTCTAGATATTGCTGTCAACAAACAAAAATACTCGATTTATTCTTGGCTAAAGAATCGCGAAATTTAAAAATTAGTTCCTAGTTTCTCGACTTGATAATTTGAGAGTAGACGAGATAGGCGGCGATTCCAATTGCCGTTGGAATTGCAATGTTTCTCACAACCGAGCATTCGGCGAAATTCTTGAAACATTCTGAACAGGTCTTCTTTGTTTTCGGCTCTTCTTTCTTCGCTTGTGCGACAATTTCCGGTTGATCGACCAATTTCCCAATCAAATACTCTTTCGTCATTTCAATCGCATCGCTTGAGTGACCAATATCGTTGAAAGCTTCCGTAGCATCCTGAAATATCGTATTCAAAACATGCGCTCAAAAATCGGTTCGACTATTCCCGCATACTCCAAAATCGATTCACCGCCTCCTGGATGTTCGTCGATGAACTGAGTCACATCATAAACCTGTAAATAAAAAATTGTTCGCATTATTCATCATATCCTATTATTGTTCCTTCATTAGCACGCTTGTACAGGGTGTCATTTAAGTTCCCGCACAACTTTGAAGACGTATATTTCTGAAACTAAAAGTCCAAATCAAACGAGACTTAAAATATTATTTATCTATAGTACAACAAATAATTATCTATTAACTCTTTTCGATTCGGCCTCCTTTCGCAGCTATGACTTCACGGAGACGCTTCGGGTAGGATGTGACTGTGGTACGCAGGTATTCGATGGAAAGATTGTCCCACTCCGCCAGTAATGTCCTCTTCAGAGCCTCTACACTTGAGTGGGGTTTTGCGTTGACCTTCTCCTGCAAGACCCTATCACGGAAAAGTCAAGCGGTTTCAGATCTGTGGAGCAATCAGGCCATTCGGATGACTTGATGAAGTCGGGAAAATGGGTCTGGCACCACTCCTGAGTAGTTTTGGCAGTGTGGGCGGGTGCTCCGTCCCGCTGAAAGACCCATATCTGCCCACCGAAATGCGTTTGGGTCCAGGGCATCACATGCTTCTCCAAAATGTCCCGAACGTAGACTTCTTTGTTTATTTTCACTCCCTGATCCACGAAATCCTGGGGGCACATCCCGGTTGAGCAGATGGCACCGAAAACCATCACACTGGCAGGATGTGAGGCTCGATTAATTGTTTTTCCTTTCTCAGAAGCTTGCTGGGATGTCTGGGCAAGTACTCAATGGTTTTGTGAGTAGAATGCCGTCTCCACAGTGAATAGCTTCTCGTCGGAGAAGACAGTGACGAGATCTTGTCCAGACCGCGTGCGAGCAAGAAGTCGTTTTGCTTTTTCGAAGCGTCTCTGCTTGTTGACGGCCGATAGAATTGCCGCTTTTTGGACACGATATGGGGTCAGTACAAGCTTCGTTTTGACGATTTGTTCCAAAGCGAAGATGCTCATTCCCATGTCTGACGCTATCTTTCTCATGCTCCTGTGGGGGTTTCGGCTGATCCTCGATTTGACGGCGTTGATCTTCTGAGGAGTGGTTACTGAGACGAGTCTTCCTTGTCTGGGACGGTCACTGGTCGTATTTAGCTCCTTGAATCGTTTGATGGTGTCATAAACCGTTCTACAAGGCACACCGACCCGTTGAATGATGTCTCTCGGGCTCACATTTTGCTTATGAAGTTCGATAATGGAAGCGCGATGGATGTTAGCCTTCGCCGTTTCTCGGAAGCACATCCGAATGAGGTGAAACTTGGAAAGTAAGTAAAATATACCTTGTTCAATAAAAATAAATTGTATTGGTGTACGAAAAGTGCGTTAGCGAAGCTCTACATGGCGTCAAACTTTTGTGCGGGAACTTAAATGACACCCTGTAGAACAAATTAACGATGACTAATTATGTACATTGAATCATATCAATTATTCGTTATTAGCGAAAATGTGAGCGAATATCTTTATATTTTTCCAGTGTTATAATTTATAATAGCTGAAATTAACGTAAAATGTCTTACCTTTCCGTTCATGATAATCCAGCAAGTTTTTTCATCATTTTCGTTGTTGTTCTTCTGTACTTCTTCGATTTTGATTTCACGCAACTCTTCGGTCATTTTAAAAATAGAAATTAAACAAGAATCGAAGGGACAAATGATGACAATTCAAGTGATGAAAAGAGAATTGCATTAGGAATAGAGAATAACAGGTTTTTACAACGCTTGATTTTTGAGCGCAATGTGCGCAAATGAGCGGACACTGACGCATTTTCTGTGGACCATGAATGTCTGATGATTAATACAATAATAACTTGGGCGCTTATTTTGAATTGACGCTAATCTTTTTTATAATTATAGGGTAATAATATGGACCAAAACGTAGTTCCAAACGAAGCAAGACCGGGAGAAAATTCCGGATTACGGGAAACGACAGCGAATCCAGTACAGAATTGTTTTTTAATCCAATTTTTTTGTCAAACTTTTTATAGGTCGAATATGGCGCAACACACGCCGTCAATGTGAACGAGCAAGCGGCGAATTCAGGTTCGAAATTGATAAAATTCAAGAGCAATGTGAAATTTTGTTTTAGGAAGCCCACAAATAAAAGATTCGGAATTGAGTTATGGAGCATCACATGTCATTAACCTTTTTCTTCCTGTCACAGTTTGTATGGCGTTTGTGGTATTTACGATGAACACTGTGGACTTTTACAACAAAAATGACGGGAGGCATTTGTGAGCAAAAATTATTCATAAATTTTCTTTGAGTAAGTATTGCAGATTATACACACCTTTTGTGAAAGACACAGACGATATTGGGGAAATTGCGTTGATGTCGCTTGGAAACGCTCTCGTAATGCTATGTGTCGTCGTTGTTATGACAGTGCTTCTTATTATTTTATACAAGTATCGATGCTATAAGGTTAGTCATATTATATCAGAAAAAAAAATTAAATAAGATTGAGAGGATTCGCAAATTTGCTATAGTATTTGAAAGCAGCCAAAAAAACAACTTAGTTAGTCAGAATACTTTTGGAAGAGCAATGTGTCAGTAGATATAATTGGGGCTAATTTTTACTTTTTTTTTAAAATTCATAACGGAAACAAATAAAACATTGATTTCTATGTATTAATAACATTTAAATTTGTTTTATAGTTCCGCCTCGCATACAAAGTTTATTATAACTTCTGAGGAAAATATAATTACAGATAATACATGGATGGCTGATAATGAGCAGTTTTCTTCTTTTGTTCTTGTTCAGCGCGATATATGTGCAGTAAGTGCTTTTTCGATTGAATATCATCAAACATACGTATACGAAAATGTACGAATTTCAGAGAAGTTTTGAAAGCGTTCAATATAACACTATCAAATATTACTGTTCTATTTCTGCTGGCAAATTACGGTATTCTTGGAATGATGTGCATTCACTGGAAAGGCCCTCTCCGTCTACAACAAGCCTATCTTATCACCATGTCTGCACTGATGGCATTAGTGTTTATTAAATACTTGCCTGAATGGACTGTCTGGTGTGTCTTGTTCATTATTTCCGTCTGGGACTTAGTGGCCGTTCTGTCTCCAAAGGTAATAATTGCAATAAGTGCCTCTGATGACTATTCAAATAAAATACAGGGACCTCTACGCTATCTTGTCGAGACAGCTCAGGAGAGGAATGAGCCGATATTCCCAGCACTCATCTATTCATGTAAGTCCGAGACGTTCCAGTAAACCTTTCTACAACATCGATCTTCAGCGGGAATGTTGTACCCGTACACGTTGTTCACCATGGTGTCTGCAGTCAATGAAGTTCCCAAAACGAATGAAGACCCCAACCCGAATGAAGGACAAAGCTCGAATGAAGGTCTCAACCCAAATGGTATTGATTACAAACTTTTTACGGCACTTAACATCGCACCCCCATCCCCCAAAAATTTCCTAATCTTTTGCGAATGCATAAAAAGATAAATAATATTTTTTTTTAAGAAACCGGTGAATCAAGTTCGCCTGCTGAGGAAAGTACGTCGTCTCAAACAAATACGGATGCCACAGTCACTAAGAAAACAGGCAAAAAAGTGAAGCGAGTTGCACAGAAAGTCAAACTCGAAGCAAGGAGCACTGAAACGTATTGTTTTAAATTGATTTCACCTCTCAGAATTTAATATTTTAGAAAAGTTACTGTCATTCATCAACTAAATGCTGAAAATCAAGCAAATGAAACAAGTAGCACATCCAATCAACCACAACAGCGGCAGCAAACACAACAACAACAACAAGAACAACCACAGCAAAATGAAGAAAGTAATAACAATATCATTTATATATATATATATATATATATGCAACAAAACTAATTTTCAGGAGGTGTAAAACTCGGTCTAGGCGACTTTATATTTTACTCGGTTCTGCTTGGAAAAGCTTCATCATATTTCGATTGGAATACAACTCTTGCTTGCTACATTGCTATACTAATCGGACTTTGTTTTACTCTTTTGCTGTTGGCCGTCTTCAAACGCGCTCTTCCAGCGTTGCCAATTTCCATATTTTTCGGGCTTATCTTTTATTTCTGCACGCGTTGGATAATCACACCATTTGTCACAGAAGTGACATTAAGAAACTATCTTTATTAATGTCCTTCTTTCAAAATTTTTTTCTGATCTCATTTCCCCGATTTAATATATTGAACGAATATCCTGTTATAAAATTGCATAAATAAACTTTTGAACAATTTTTATTTGATACGCTAAACATCTGAAATAATCGGTTGTAATTCTTTAGCTGTTCGACTTCTTGAAAATGTTTAAATTAAGCATGCTCAATAACACGGTTAAACATGGTTTCTGCGGGTTATCAAAAATTCACTGGGCCTTTTTGGTAAGTCTTTCGATGTTTTGAAAAAAAAAACAAACCTGAACGATGGTAGAAATTCAAATTTCAGCGAAAATTGAGCAATCAAAAGTCATTAGCAAAGAAAAAGTACTTTGATTTGAACGAATTTATCAAAAAGGTCGACGTTTCTTATGTAACCGGTAAAAACATGAATAAGAATATAACAGTAACTGCAACTTATATAGTAAGATGAGACTTGATTAGTTTGAATTATGAACAGAATTGAAGGACTCAGGAATTAATGAGAATACGAGGGCTACAATTATTGGTATGGGAGGTTCACCAGGATCACACAATGATTTCAAATACATGAAGGAAATTTGCGAGAAGAGGAATATTCGGCTGCTTTGTATCAATTGGCCGGGATCGGAGTTTGTTGAAGGTATAGGGAAACTTTTTATTTTTTTTTCCAGTTGTAATTACTGTTCAATTCTCATTATTGTATTTAAGGTGGTATCGAAGACAGCTACACGAATCCAGAAAGAAACTCGTTTGCCACCGCTTTTTTGGATAAATTGAATGTCAAGCATTGCAACCGATTGATTCTTATGGGGCATTCACGAGGATGTGAGAATGCCCTTCAATTAGCTGCCATTCTCTCAGTATGAAGCAATTTTTTCAAATAGCTTAGCCGATATTTCCTGATTGCAGAAAGAAAAATGGCCAATATTTGGAACAGTTTTACTGAATTCACCTGGGCTTGAATCGCACAAAGGTGTTCGCACAAGGTTCATATTTTTTTCAAAGTAATAGCAGTAGTAATTATAATCATTTGTAGAATTGGAGTAATTAATTCTGCGGCATATCTTGTAAAATTGAACAACCCGATTATGAACATGATCCTTCACCCCTTACTAAACTTCTGTGAGTAATCATAAAAAAAATTGCCCTTTAAATTTAGATATTTTAGTTTATAATAATATGGTTGGACTGAGGGTTCCAAATGGGGCTGTTGCTGCTGCTGCAATTCTGCCGCTCACCACATTCTATTTTGATCGACAAACTGAGTATATTGAGAAAATAATCAAGGACACCGAGGTTTGATCGGTCGACGATTTGAGGTTATCAATATCAATTTTAAGATCAAAGCTTTCTATGGTTATGGCGCGAAAGATTTTCTCATCGAAGAGCATATTTCTGAGAATCTTGCAAAAGCATTTCGAGGAGCCGAACATTATGTATAAAAGTCAGCGAAATTTCGTGATAAAGTACAAAATTTATAGGTGATACACAACAAAAATGATGCCGCGAAAGCGCTTGAACAAGCGAGACATCACCTGATTAATGGCAAACGTTTTGTGACGGCAAACTTCACTCAGGAGGGCCACTTTTTGCAAAAATCGTACCCGGAGTTTGCCATCGAATTGTTAGATGCTATGATAACTTCAGATGAATTAAAGTCAACAAATTAGAAAACAAATTGATTTGTTGGATTTTGTTATTTTATGAATAGTTTCCCATTTAATTTGTCATTTTCATATATGCTCAATTATAGTCCCAATTATACAATAAATTGCCTTAATAAATATACTACATTTATGGCGAACACTGTAAAATAGTGTTCGCTGTCTCGTTTTCTGATGTATCATGTTAAAGCAAACATCACTGAAGCCATCCGACTTGTTTTCCCAACACTATTTTTCATCGGAAACCCTTTTTTGTTGTGTGCCAACGAATATTATGTATTTTCGCATTGTGGGGAAGCGCACGAGCCATAGACTAGTTGAGGTTTTATTTCGTCGGCAGTTCCTCGCAATGTGCACGTTTCCTCCAATAATCATGTGACGGCGATTCTTGTGTTTTGTTTTCAACAGTCGAAAAGAAATAAAATGATTCAGACTGTTTCTATGATAAATTGGGAGAACGATTCTAGACAATTCATTTTAGTTTTCGAAAAAAATATCTAGAATATAGTCATATTCCATAAAGCGTGCCAATCCAAACTGCTTTCTCTCATCAATATTTATGAATTCTTTACTTTTTGATATTGAATTATTCGCTATCCATATTGATTAAATATTATGCGAATTGCACAAAAGAAAACTTTTTCTTAGTGTATACGGTACGCAGTCCGCAAACACGCAAGTAGCGCATTACGGAATTACTCATTAGAGTAGTTTTCCAATTGCTATTTTCTTGACTTTTCTACGTTATTCTAAAAATTGTTTTTATTTTCAAGAAACGTGCGTTTTGTGGAATAAGAGAAACCCATTTTTCATTTCTCTTCTTTATTTTATTGCCACACCCAACAAATCATAGGGTTTTCTGTGGAAAAAAAGCGAAAGAACTCGCATTCATTTTCACGTTTTCTTATCAATATTGGTTGATGTTGACCCGTTGAGTGGCCCTTGTCAATATATAAATGCAGCACTACTGCTCGATAGCGCAGTAACCAACATGTGCGGACGGAATTGGCCGCGCATGAATTACTTAGCATCGCAAAACTTGTTCAAATCGCCAGACATTTGAACAATCGATCTTTGGTCTTGTCGAAAACGAGACTTATCAAAACGTCTTGTTTCTCCCAGCGTATTTGTACTCTTTCAATTCGGCACAACACTTGCTCTTCCGCATGCAGTGCCGTCCATCGATTTTGTCCGCAGTAGAAGCCAATAGAAATTCTGCCGCTGGCCAATCACCTCGGCGCATCGATCCGGCTTTCTATCTGTTGACCTCGCTTTTCCTCGTCTCATTTTCAAATCTCGTCTCGCCAACTTGATGATGTTTGATTTTAGGTATGAAAGTAAAGTTGGAAAGAAGTGAAGAATCTGCCGACAAGGAATCGCTCATTTCAAAAAGTTCCGACTCTGGAGTGGTGAGTTTTTTTTTTCAAGTTTTTCGACAGCAAAAAAATGTTTTAAAAAAATGTGAACTAGGTTTTTTTTTAGTTATTCCATATAAATTTTATGAAAGTCAAATAAAAATTATAATGACATAAAAATGCATATCGGAGAGAAAATAGTAAGCAGATAAAGAAAATAAATCTTTTTACATTCCATTATAAATTTAAATTTCTCAGAACATAAAATTACATCTCTTTTTCCATTGCAATTCGGAACTCGCAGTGTAAAGTTTTTAACGTTGATCGTATTTTCTCCCAGATGTTCGCGATACATTAGAAAAATAAAATTTGACAACTGCCATTCTTTTCAACCAAAAAAAATTGATAGGAAAGAACAATACGTGAGTTTCGAGACCAAAGATCTTATCATATTCGATTAATGCATTTGAAACCAGAATCTAGTTTAAAAACTGTTATCATCCATTTTTTAAATGAAAAATCAATGAAAAAGAGAGTAAATTAAAAGAAAATAATGTGCCCAAAAACCTGACACGAAACGTTTAAAGAACGCAACCTCATTATGAAATCGATTTGATGTTGGATAAACACGATGAAAACGCGCTCTACGGTTTAAGGATTAAAAATATTTCATGTTTTGAATTTGTTAAATAAATATTTATGTAAGCCATAACTAATTTGTAATATTTCAGTGCGATAATGGTGATGATGCTGGCCGAATTCGTTCTTCCTCATCTGCATGTCCCAACTTGGTTCCACTTACCGATGACTACGACCAAAGTAAACAAGATGGCCGGAAGTTTGATCGTGAACATGTCAAACAGCTAATGGCACGATGGCGAAGTGTTGCAAGACGTGCCCGACGCGAATATGTGGATCCATGGGACCAATTCAATATTCAAGAGTTCCCCATTTTTCGTGCAAAACGTCATCGCTATTCCGCTATGCGAAAGCAATGGACCGAAGATTTCGTTGAAGTCCGTTTCCATCCGGAACCGTTTGCTCGCGGAGCCATGCGAGAATGCTATCGACTGAAGAAACTTTCATCGATGGGTGGCAGCAGTGATTGGAAGCATGCTCAGAATTATGTGGCAAAAAAGTACATGCAGAATGTTGATCGACGAGTGCTTTTCGACGATGTCAAACTCCAAATGGACGCCAAACTTTGGGCTGAAGAGTACAATCGCTACAATCCCCCAAAGAAAATTGACATTGTGCAGATGTGCGTAATTGAAATGATTGATTTGCCGGAATCGCCATTATACCATTTGGAGCATTTCATAGAAGGCGATTATTTGAAGTATAATTCAAATTCGGGATTCGTGTCGAAAGATGCTCGCCTCACACCGCAAGCATTCTCCCATTTTACTTTCGAGCGTTCCGGACATCAGCTGATGGTTGTCGATATTCAAGGAGTCGGCGATCTCTACACTGATCCACAAATACACACCGTTGTTGGAACCGATTATGGCGATGGAAACTTGGGAACACGTGGAATGGCGCTTTACCTTCGTTCGCACAAGTGCAACTACATTTGTCATGACATGGATCTCTCAGAATTTGAGCTATCGGAGAATGAAAAGCTCGACCTGCTGAGAAAACGGATTGTCTCGACGTCCGGCACCGCGTACAATCGCAATCGTCTCCACAGTGAAAATTGTATTCCTGTTGATCGCGGGATTTCGATGGAAGGATTGAGACGTGTCACTGTTTCGATTTCTGCTGAAACTGATGACGATGATGATGATGACAGCGAGGACACTGACACCGATTCGGAGAATGACCACAGTTGCAATTGTGTTTGCCCTGAATGCATTCCAAAAATGGAGGATCTCCCGGACAGTGTGTGCGATAGTGAAGACGCAAGATCGGTTTCTTCGCGGAAGAGCAGAAGCGCGTCGAAATCTAATGGTGATGAAGAAATCAACTACCGGCCAAGAAAGGTCAGATAAACAATGAGTTTCCGTCAAATGCAATATATTTCAGGTTGGCTTCCATGATTTGAAGGTGATTCGTCCGGATTCCTCTCATTTCGATAGCCTTAGCGTTGGCAGCTCAACAGACATCAATTCAATGAACAGCTCTAGGATCACGCGTGATACTGAAAAAGAGGAATTCTGGAAGGCTGCTAGAAAGATGTCAATTCCGGCGAACATAGCCAAGCTTCAACATTCCACGGATATTCATCAAGCCGAGCTTCACACTCGCCAATTTTCGGTGCTCGGTCAAATCCACATTGATTTGGCGCGCTATCACGAGCTCGGTCGTTTTCTTGAAGATGACGATGGTGTACAAAAGAAGCTTTTGGATAAACCACCTGCGACGACTACTGAAGATAAGCACAACAATTCAAAAGAGCTTGGAGCAATTGAGTATGACAAAGAATCGGCTCTTTTTCATTTGGAAGTTGCGCGCAAGTGCGGAGTTCTCGAAGCAGTATTAACGACGGCTCAAATTTACCTCGGAATGCCGCATGAGTTGCTAAAAGATGTCACCGTCGATGATATGTGCTTTGTTGAAGACATTGAGGATATTGATTTGGAAGAGCACGGCTCCGAATTGATGGAAAGTGCTGCAGAGATGGGCGACAAGGGTGCGATGATGTTCATGGCGAAGGCTTATGAAACCGGAAGACGGCTTGGCAAAAATCGTGGCACTGATTATCGGAAGGCTATTGAATGGTACCAAAGAATCGTTGGCTTCCAAGATGACGAGGATGAAAAGGAGAATGCTGGATACAGCGATCCGATGGCGCGTCACGAGATCCTGGCAAAGATGGCCGAAATGTACAAAGAAGGTGGTTACGGCTTATCGCAGGACTTTGAAAGAGCTTACAATTTGTTTACCGAAGCGGCCGAGGCTGCAATGGAAGCAATGAATGGAAAGTTGGCCAATAAGTACTACGAGAAAGCCGAAATGTGTGAATATTAATTAGTTTTTTTTTAATTGTCGTGTGCGTTAGTATAGGTTGAAATGATTTAGTTTTTCTTTTCTAAATGCGTAATGTGTTCATATTTTTATTCATTTCTCTTGCCATATAAGCATTTTTTCTGATAAGTTCCACCTCGCTTTTTGTAAGTATACGCGGTTTTTCGAGTCTCGAATTCAATTTAGTTTCCTACTATTATTTTGCATAAAATAAATACTGGTTTACGATACATTAAAAAGAATTCATTGCTTCATCATAATAACTTGACATCCCGTTTCATGATTTTACGTTTGATTGAGTTTTTTTAATTGTCTACAAAGATTATGCGCTCATTGAATGAGGAGGGGAGGAATGACAGGCAAACGAACTATGGAATCTCATATACAAAATGAAGCGCTAGAAAGACAATTTGATTTCTAACAGTTCTTAAATAATAAGTTACAAGGGTTATACAAAAGCTACACATAAATAATGGGTTGGTTATTTACAAGGCCACTGAACTACTTGATCTTTCATGTTGTTTAAGTGATGAACCGACTTCGCGTAGCTGTGTTATTGTCTTTTTAAACCATCTGAAACAAAAATTGCATAATTTTGGAAAATTGCTGAAATTTACACTTACTTCTTTCCATCACTCTCACTTTGAGTCATCAATTGGTGAGTCAGATCCTGGTTTCTACATTCTGCTTCTACCAAGGCAAGTTTTGTTTGAGCTAGATCAATCTCCAGTGCTCTAAACAAAACAAATTTCTGAACTGCTCATTAGACAGAATCCTACTTTATATGGTCTTCTCTTTCTTCTAGACGCGAAAGCAAGTCAGGGCCTGTTGGCGTTGAAGCACTATGCTGCGGACTTCTATTCTGCTCCCACTCCTCAACAGCAGGCCAGCATTTATCACATTCAGAAATTCTTGCCTTTATTGGAATTGAATAATGTTTATATGTGAATTTCTGCTTACCACAATAGCTCTTTTTTGAGTTTCGAAATGCTCTTTATCAAGTTCGCATCTTCGACTTTTCTCCGAAAACAATTTCTTGTACTCATTCAACAATTTTTCTGCTCTCGACCCGCTTTCTTCTAATCGATTCACATCTCGTCTATACATCTCTTTAATTTGTTCATATTCACGCATCAAATTGCGATTTTCCTCAATGATGTCTTGATTCTGCCTCGTAAGCCTTTCAATTGTATTGGCAGAAGTCTCGAGTTGATCCTTAAAGAAACGAAATGAACAACAGTGGAGTTCGAAGGAAGCAACCTCGACCAAGTCCAATTTGCGGCGTAACTCAATTTTACTGGTAACTAATTCGTGTGCAAGGTCGTCATTTTCACGTTCCAAACGCATCATATTAGCCACATGGCGGCCATTTTCCTTCTAAACGTCAACCAATATTTTAATTTTTCATGAGCACTGTGTTGATTTTCACCTCCAGTCGCAGAATTGGATCCTCGTTTTCCCTTTCGCGTTCTTTCATCTCGACATACTCCTTCTCAAATTTGTCCAAACGCTTATGTTTCAATTTGAAATTGACGGCTTTCCGAATAAGCGCTTTCGTGGCAGCCTCGGTTCGGTATTTTCGTGGCAGTGACACACGGAAATATCTAAAGAAGCATTCAACAATAGAAGAAAACAAAAACATGGTGTTGACTCACTTTAACGTGCCTTCAAAATCGAGCTGTAAAAGGTCAGTCATGGCGTCTTGCAATAAAGCCAATGAAATATGAAAGATGGTGTTCATTCCCTGAAAACAATTTTTAATTGAATCTCGTGCATTTCAAGCAAAACCTCGCACAAAAACAAATCGAGAATGAAGAAAACCATTTGCAGAGGGAATTTTGCTGTGAATAATGTCAAAAACCATTGGGAAGCGTACATATGAGTCTCGATTCCAATCTGCTCCAAATGACAATGTAATTCCGATAGGTATTCCTGAAATAAAAAAAAAATAAATTTTATAGTGAAAAAAATTAAATAAATACTTTCTGCAGACACGTCAGTTGGTAAAATCGCAGATGCAAGTTGTCAAATCCCAATTTGAACAAATCCCGAAGCCCATAATCGAACATTATTTTTACTAGCGTGCAAAATGCTTGCTCCTCTGGCATCTGAACAAGAAAAAATAACATTTTCGATTGAATTTTGAATATCTCACGTGTAACAACAAACTAGCGGCAAGGAAGGATAACCCTTGACAATATGAGACCTCCTCGTCATATAAGGAATACGCTTTGCTAATTTTGTATAGCGATTCCTGACCATCACCACCAGATTGCTTGAAATGCTCATGAGCTGGGAATGTTCGATGAATATCCCTCATGATGACCTGCTCCGATGGGCATTCCTTGGTGAGCAGTTGGTGATAAGTATCGATCAGTTCCTGACATTCGCTCGCCTAATAATATGTATGCAATTTCAAATGTAGGTAAGCAAAAAAATTACTTTCGATAGAAGCTGCCAAACTTGGCCACGTAGAGAATCCGGGATTCCGTTTAGAACAAGTTGAGAAACGGCTTCTGGTCGTGTACTGTAAAAATCTCCTCATTTGGTAGTATTTTTAGTTTTTTTTAAAGCAACAATTCGCAGTTTAATAAATACGTTTCCAATAGCAAATCCCGAATGTTGGAATAGCATTTCGTTGAAGAGGATTCAAATTTGAAAGCTATCAAATCGTGGTTCTCTGTGTTTGTTTTTTTTTTGTCCAACTTCCCAAAACACCTGAGGGAGTTTAGAGAATGTAACCAATTTGATTCAAAATTGGCTCCAATACCCATGGCTATTAATGCGCTCACCCATTTTCTGTCGTTTTCCATTGCTCAATGCACTCCTGCCATTTCTGCATCACTTCTTCGCCGCATTCCTGTGAAACAACACCGGAGCCGGAAAGAAGTGGCTCATCGCAATCTGACTCATCATCGCCAGTTGGATGAAGCAATTGGGTCGGCATTCGTGAAGGACTACGACCAAGATTCTGTTTCAATCTCCTTCTGAAACACAATGTTGAATTGAAACGAGGTGTTCCAAAACGCAGAATATTGTTGAAAACCTGTCGCTTTCCGATTCCAATGAGATGTATATCAGTTTTTCTTTGTTTTGCGCGTCGCCCTCTTCAGGTTTCTGAACAAAACAAATAATGTGGTTAAAAATTGAAAACTGATAAGAATACAATTTTTGAATGTATGAACTGTGTGTTTTTCATTGTTGAAAAGAAGCAGCGTTCACGCTCTTTAAACATTACATTGCCCACAAATATTTGCATTGCTTTGAAAGTGGAAAGAAAACTACATAATATGTGACCTATTCTATAAACTAAAAAAAACAAGACAAATTATGAACAACTACCATATGAAAAAGCAATCTGAACAGTATTCGCTAGGAAAAGCAATTTCCTATGCCTCTGCTAAAAAGCTGAAAAGACAGAATGAGTCAGCAGTGTATAGTTAATCAATAATATGAAAAAGTGACCAGAATTTTGGAATTCTTATAAACAAATATTCTGCATTTCCTTGACAATGTTTTTTTGAAGCATGAAAAGAGCATATATCTCTCTCCCTCTCTCCGTCTCCATTTCGTGAAAAGAACGCTATTCGGCTCAGCTGCCAAAATAAATTGGTAAAATAGCATTCAGAATGATAGGAAAATCAAAACAAAACAAAAATCCAACGCAATGAGGCGCAGCAGCCAGCGCAGCAGCGAAAAGAAATCGCAATCGCCGATGGGAGAGAGAGAAAAGAATGACGAGCGACGGAATCGAGAAAAAGCGTGCGAAAAAAAAACTAACAGCACGTTTGTGTCGGAGAAACAGTACGCGATGCGGCGAGACCCCGTGCGAGCAACTTCCATCACCCTCCCAGGCAATAAACTCCATATGATTCCGTTTCATCACTGCCCATTTTTCAACTATTCAATTTTATATCATGGATATTGTATGGTAACTATGCCGATATTGTTCCACATCCTTGTAAAAATTGTTTCGAAAATGGGAAACCGCCAACCTCAAGTATTAGTGTGAAACCTTCGGAAACAATCGCTCTCGGCGTCTTGTAGAATCGCTCGTGCTCATGAAAAACTCTCGACATTGATTCCATTGAGAATCGAATCGGCTCGCTAACTTCAGCCATTATCACATCAATTGCGACAGTCATGAAAACTCGCGTATCTAAATAATAAAAGGCAATTTGAGAATTTGGCTTAATTCGTTTTTCAACCTCGCGGTGTTTCTGTATTCAACACTTCGAACATATGAGTTCGTGGATCCCAATTTGATTCGATAACAAATATTGTTGTATCAGGCTCTGGAAAATGAGATTAGGTGGCTTATCAGGTTTTTTTTTCTTGCGAAACTCGTCACAATTTGATTTGATTATCCTCTGAATGACTCTACCAACACTTTTAATCAATTTGGTGTTTCTCTTCTATTTCGTCTAAATTCATTAAAACTAATAATAACTTTTGATTTTTTTTTGCTTGTTTTAAATAATTCGGTTGATTTGAAGGTTTTTTTTTCGATAATTATTTTTCTTCCTTTACAAAAACAAAATGAAATGTTCCTTAAATAGCGAATATCGTTTGATATTGATTATTATATGTAGAAGAAAATTTATTCTAAACTATTATTTAATCATAGTTCCCTCCTGTTTTTTCAATTTATCGATTACAATCATTCCACATCAAAATGTTATTATTGCGTCCCATTTTGTTTATGTCTTCCATATCATCGCCAAAATTTCACATTATTTGATTGCGCACTTTTTGTATACTCAAATTCAACCCACCAAATTCATTCTTCTCCATTTCGAGTAGCTGCAAATCGGAATGACGCAAATTTCGGCCAGCGGCTAGAAGCATCCCAAAGCATTTCGTCACGGTTAACAAAAATCCGCTTGTCTGAAACAATGCCAGCTATCAAAAAAGCTCTCTAGAACATTTTATTTAGCTACGTCATTACAACTTGATAATATCCATGTGGTCATTATCTAATCAATCATAATATTATTTTTCAACTAGCTTTCCAGGAACAGACTGATTAAGCAGAAAGCTAAATGATTAAAAAATACCGGATAAGCCGAAAGAACTTAATACAAATGTTGTATTTAAAATTGTTGTAAATCATATTAATTATATAATCAATTTTTATATTATAGTAAAAACTTACCTGCTTTAATTGAATTATAAGCTTTTTAGCGCGATCCCTTCTCAATTTGAATACTCCATTATGCTGCGGACACAGTTTCCAGACAGGGTTTTGCGCGGTGCCATCATTTTCCTACAAGACGAAAGCATTATTAATAATTCTACTGAATTGAGCAGCGTACTCGAATCTCCAAAGCACTCTCAAACGTGAATTTCAAACGATTCGAATCCTCCATGGGTTTCGTGTTGGAAAATGCATGCGAGAAGCAATAAAGTGCTCTGGCTGCCTGAAAATTGCAATTTGATTCGACGAACGGCGATTGATTGCCTTACAATATCCGACTTTGGGGCTCGAAAGACGTGGCACTGATGTGTCGATGTAGGCGGTGTGTTCGGTTCGCTGCAAATAAAATGCGCCCAAGTTAGGATTTAATTTCCAGCTTCTTACCCTGATGCACCTTTATGCGTGAATGAGATTCCGAAACAATTTGATTGTGACGTTGATGAATCGCCACGAATGCAAAACCTTATGTTAATCAGCTCAAATGACGATAATATACTGCCCAATGAGTCAATAAGTCTGAAAAAGTAGTCAATTTAAAGTAATATTATTGTTTTTTGTTATTTTCTGCCGTCTTATTTTCACTACTGCTATCAACAACAACAACAGCAATATTTTAATAGATTGTGCAATTACTTACTTCACCGTTCCCGAAACCGTATGAGGCACAACCAATGTAACCAGCACTGTGTGAATGCCCTTTTGCTCGTCAAGAACCTGCAAAAATAAAGAAAAATCAATAGCACTAAAAACTAGCTTCAAAAAAATGGAGGAAATCGAATTTTCTGCAGCCGGCCTAGACAAACAAGTTATATACCAAAAAGTGTGCAGCATGTAACAGAGATGCAATGCAATTTGGGAAGGAATTGAGAGAAAAAAAACACGCAAGATATTCCATCTTGTTTTTATGTCAATTGTCTAACCTTCATGAGAGCCTTCATTTCTTTATCATCATCCTGGTTAACTAACTGAGAGCATCCCAAGTATTGTATCTGAAAATTGTCAAGCATAATCTTCCTTAATCATGATACATCTGTATAATTATAAAAAATCTCTTACATTTGCGAATTTTGTGCTCGTTGTATAATCATCGTATCCATTTTGTAATCCTTTTTCTGGAATTTTAAAAAATAATGATTTTGTGGTCATTGGGCGTTTTCCCACAGAAACCCCTAATAAATTTCTAAAATTTATTACAATTAATTCTGTAAGGTATTTCATCTTAAATTCTAGAAAAAAAACTGTCAATTTCTCAATGCAACATTTTCTTCAAAAAAATTCCAATAAAATTTCATTTTTATTCCATTTTCAAACCCATATTTTTATGTGCCATAGTGTTGAACAGATTGATATATATATATATATTTATATTTATATTCCTCTATCAATTCCTATGTTTTCTCTTATCAATCACAAAAATTGCCGAGCCTTCTATATATTCAATTTCTCTATTAGCACGCAAAAAAAGCTGCTCAAATATCTTGTTTGCACATTTATTATTATCCTCTCCGCCCAATTAATTGGCTAATCGAATTAGGCGGCAAATTTCATTAGCAAAAACACATCGTCAATTAATTTAATTAGCCTTTTGAGCAGACTCACCAGTTTCAATGGTTCCAATCGAAGTTTTCGCCATCGTTTCTTGGCCGTTAAGTAATATGCATGAATTTGGATAACCTGTAAATCGTTTTTTTTTTAATTAACAAAAAAACAAGCGGCCACACAAGGTGACAAAACCGAAAACAGAAATATAGAAGCGAGAAGCGATAAATATTTTGAGGCAACACTCGACCACAATCTCTGTGTCTCTCATTCTAAGTCACACTCACGCATACATTCGCATAGTCTCTCTCTCTATCCATTCGTGTTCCCTTGTTTGGGAGACTGGCGTAGGATCAATACTCAGGCAGGCGCTCTATCGCACTTTAGGATATTTGCGTCACATCGTAAAACGACCTCTTCAAGTAGTCATCATCATGCCTCTAGGAAGAATTGCATTCGACTGACTATGAATGCGATGTTGATGGAGGAAAAAAAATTCTTGGAAATTCATTGACAGAGTTGGCGTCGACATTTTGTAGCAATCCAAAAAGTTGATATTTGCATAACACGTTTATAAGAGAATTTGAGAATCAGACAGTGCTGTTTTTTATTGCCGACGCTACTGTTTTCGAAACCTTTATCGATTTTGGTTTACGTTTCACTAAATTTTGTTTTGTTTCGCTTTCAATTCATATTGGTTTACGCGCAAAATCGAGAGAAACACTGCGAAATGATAGTAAACCCATTGATAATCAAATTTTGGCTACGCAATTGCCACACAATAAGTATGAGAGTTTGATTTTTTGAGCGAACTCAACTATTAAGTGCTCTCAAGTTGCGGCAATATATAATACATAATATTGGGGTCATAGAGAAAAAATGAAACAAACTCTACATAGATGGAAGGGCATAAAAAGAAACATTTAGAGTTAATGGGGGAAACGAGGGAAAATGAAATTTTTATTGATTGTTAAAAAATGCTAGAAAACCACTTCCGCCGGGAGGTTTCAGCCTAGGTGACTCACTAGTATACTTGCAACAAGTCTGCATTGCGAATTAGCCGATTTTATATGAAAGTAATTGCTGCAGTTAGAGGTCCAAACAGAGCTTTTTTTTGAAGAGTCTGGATACTATTCGTTTCGCAGAAAACCGAGCAAATGCACATTTGATACGATAATGTCGAAAAGAAATGTTGCCAAAAGCAATCGGCAGCAATTAACTAAGGAACGAGTACTCCTACACTTTTCGTATTACGTTTCCTTTTATCATAGTTGTTCTCGATTTTGCTTTAGAAGAAGTCATATATCTGCCAAGTCTTGTGCTCTCTGTTCCAATATTTCGAAATTCGCATTATCAAAATGTTCCATTTTCTTTTCAAGAAAAAATAGCCAACATTTTCCCATCAAATGTAAAGTAATGAGTATATGCTCTATGGACTGCTGAAGCAAATGGGCTTGCCGTGTGCTCAAAGTAGTCAAACATGAAACAAGTTTTATGATTGTCTAATTCACGAGTGCAAATTTTTTTTCTATCGCACGTTCACTTCAACATTTTGGCGTTTCTCTTTTTGTACGTTTTAGAAAAATCGATTAGAAGAAAAGAAATGAAAAATGCCTAATCTAGAAGCGTAATTGAATATTCTATAGGAAAGGAGAAGCGGCATGAAAAATTGAAATTTACAATTTTCATGATGCGCACTTATTTCCGGTAAAAAGCTTCACTTTAAATAAGAGATATGACTTTATTATATATATAAAACTCAATCAATATGTAACTATCATATTTATAAAAAACTTGACGTTGTCTGTAGGCAAAGCTGTTTGAGTATACTGTATATATATCCGAAAACGAAAATTGAGGAGTTGGACGATTCTCACATAGCCATTCTGGGTGTAAGATTTCATAGAAAATTCATTTTCCTCTTTCTTAACATTTGTTCCATTGCCATCCCGTTTTGAACGTAACAATGTGTAATGGTGAAACAATGAGTAGAGTAAATATAAAAAATCGATTAGCTAAAACAATAGGTGAAGTTAATGACATTGAGAAAATTGAATAATCGAACAAATTTTTTGGCGATAATATCTTGAGTCAAAAAGGTGAAGCGCTGAAGAGGTGAACCAACTATTACAATACGATGTTATTCACTCAAAATAAACGCGCTCAGTCGAACTGTCTAGGTTCTCTATCCAGCGGTATTGTGTAGACGAATGCAGCCCGCGACATTTTTTTTATTTGCAGTTAACCGTAAATTCCGCGCACGCACTGTTTCGAGCGCAGTTCGCCGGCCGCGCAAACTCCCTCCCATCTTTGCCCAACGCGCAGATATAATTATGCATATTTTTGTGGATGAACTTTGCTCTGTTATTCCTTTTATAATGACCACAGCGATCATATTGACGTCGCTGCCTTTTTTGCCCCCATATTGATCCGCTGTTTTCTAATCCGCTATCACGTTTTGTGTTCGCTGCATTGTAACATGCAATGAACTAGTTTTTTTTTTCGTCGCAATGCTAAGGATTCGAAAATAACACCTCACTCGAAAACAAGCATATTTTGTCTTTTTCTATGATATCAGCGATTTTTAACGAGTTCTTTTGGGCAGCTAAATCCCTTGTTGACAAAAAAGGACAGCTCTCCAACAAAGTGGATATGTTTTGGTCCTTGTTCGAAACATTTTTTGTTCCCGACTCAATTTTTGCTGCCTAATTTGGCCTCTTCATTTCTGAACAACGAGGGGGACTTGTGTAGCCTGAATAAGCGTTTTTTTATCGTTAATTATTCCAGTCGTTGGTTGGATGGTCGTCAAATTGATATATTTCAGGCTAAATGGATGAATTTTCGAAAAACTGCTCACATTCAATTGGCAGTGGGAATTGCTCGCGATGCGCACTGCAAGAAACGTTTCAAATTGGGAAAGACGTTGAAACAATAGGTTTGTCGCAATTCGGTGCCTAAATTAATCGCATTGGTCTAGAGCTAAGTGAAACAAAGTCCGATAGCGAAGTTGAAGGGCTCAATGTTGGAACAGAGTCGGAAGAACAGTTGACACAATCACCGGATGAAATTATAGAATGTAAAACTATGCACGCAATTCTTCCAGAGGTGATTTTTTTCGTGAAAACGCTTGAATTCAACGAATTCAAATATCATCTGCCTTTCCGCTTTTTTTTTCTACTTTTCATTTATTTATTACGAATATATAAATTACATATTATTTAACAGATGATTGAGAGAACAAATTATGATGTGAACTTGATTACAGTAGGCAGTTCTTGTGTACTTTGAAGATCATAACAAGCGCATTTCTACTACCTCATTATTTAATGTGAGCGTTGTGCTGAATACTGAACACTTGATGTTTTAATTTGAAATTGCCTTGGGCGCCGCAACCCATGAATTAATTTCCCCTTAAACGACAAGTCAAGAATGAGAGAACCCATTTGAACCCAATTGGTTTCTGTGAAATCAAATATGATACATATATATGTATTCTTAGGCGTTTCCAATGATTGCTATGCACATCGTTCACATTATGCGCAGCTCTAGCTCGCCGCCCTCTACCCACCAACATCTCTTTTTTTTTTATTTCAACCCAAAGCTCTCATTTTATTGCTTTCTTAGATTGTATCACTAACCGAATTCATGATTTTACGCAATATTTAATGAGTGGAGAAAAGAGGCTCAGTGTGATTAATGCTTAGCCATCTATTGGGTCTCGATGATTGATGTCAAAGATTTTTTTTTAATCTTTAATCCTAATATTGAACTCCGTCATCCCATCTTATATGTATTAGTTTTATCCGAACCCTAATCTTTTATGAGATAAAGGAACATGTGAGTTTTCTTTGGAGACGACACACTCGGCGATCCCCAAGTTTCCTCCAAAATGTTTATCTCTGTTCATAAAAGAAACTGCTCGCAAAGATCATTTTTTAGATTTCAAAAAAAAAAGAAAAGAATGCAGTTGCGGCAAACTGGGTTCACATCTGTTCGAAAACGGTCACGCATCTGTCACATTATTTTAACCCCCACCCCCCAATCGTTTTCCTTCCTTTTTGTCGAGATGTTACAAATCACACTCTTATGAGGCCAACTCCGAGTGCAACTCGAAATTTGAATTAAAATGATGATAAATCCAATAGATTGGCTTTTTCAATTATTGAATCAATGTGAATAATTAACACTCGCTTCCTTTGCTCCGATGTAAGCTTGTGAAATTTTATACATTACACGATTGCCGGCGACATTCGTTGTTTTTCTGTTTTGTTCTAATTTCGATGAAATTCAGATTTTCGGGTTGCATTGCGGCTCGTTTAGCATTTGATTGTTATTATAGGAAAATCGACTCATGATCCCCCTAGTTCCATCGATTTTTGCCGCCATTTTTCTCACAATCATTGTTGTGATCGCGTTCGTATGAATTTCTCGTGATATGAATTTGCATTGAAGGTATTTCTGGGTTTACGATATTTGATAGACTTTCAATTATTTGACGTAATTTTTTTCTTCCCTCAAACGTATTAAAATCCATAAAGCAAGTGTTTCTTTTTTTATTTCAAGGAAACAAATTAATTAGTGGTTTTCATTGATTTTCAAATGTTTTGAAATTTTACGTATAGCATTGCACATTTGTATACATATATATTCTATATTATTTCTAACCAATTTCCTTGTTCCCACAATTCACCTCTCGCTTTTTGTCATTTCATTTCCAATGCAGTCGCAATCCAGTTATTAATGACCGCCGAAGATTAATTGACGTTAAAAAAACTGAGGGCTAGGCAGCGCTAGTTAATGCAACCTCGTTTTGTCAAAACCTATACATTACAATTCGGCGTACAGCGGAAAAAAAAATGGGAACAGTTTGCATATGAGGATTTCTCGTTTTCAGACGCCGATTCCAATGTCTGCCGAGATTAAAATCGAAAATGGGGATAGCGATGGGGACAACGTCCAATTTGTATGCACTAATTAGTGCGACACACAAATGAATAATTTAAATTTCAGACGAAACCGCTTGTCGAGCCACTTAGCTGGACAATGCGCCTTATTGCGTCGGATAGCTTTAATGCACCAATGGCCATTGAATATCTGCATATTTTGCATGACAAAGCATCGCTCTCAAAATTGGGTAGCGAACGGGTGGAACGAATTGAAATCGCATTATTGAATTTTTAGGCAAGCGATTGTTTTATCTTCCAGCGAATGAAGTTGACTTTTTCCTTCCACAGTTAATGTACATGTACGTTAACAAAATTGATGCTGCTAGTGTGTCTCATGCGTATATTGAGTCAAGGTAAAGCAATATCTAAATTTAGGTATAAAATCATTTTCAGGAATCAGGACAATCCGCAATTTTCAATTTTATGCTCATGGCTTCTAGATTGTTATATTCCAGCAGTTTTGCCTGGTAAATTACCAAACCATGCAATGATGTTACGGTAAATTTTAAATATGTTTTTGACTACTTCGAGCCTTGAAAATTTTAGGGGTATGATGCGAAACGACTCAGCATTGTACGAGATAAAGCCATTAGAAGCTTCGGAGAATATTAATGAATGTGGAGTTCAGCCATTGTCGGAAGTTCCAACAACGGTTGGCGACGTTTATTCTCGATGATTAACAATTCAAATATCTTTCAGAGTGAATTAATAAATTTCGAGCATAGATTCGTTGAAAGACTAACTACTATTGGAAGAAAATTGGCAATTGCTCATCTAGCCGACTCAAAGCATAAAAAGATGTCTGCGCTAAAATTGGAACTTCAACTACTTAACAATATGCTTCCCGCGCCTGTTTGGATTCCATTCGCCGAGGATCACTACATCCTTCAGATTTGCTATGAGGAGTCATCCGTGTTGAATAGCAAAGACAAAGTTCCTTATATCATGTTTGCCGAGGTTCTTCGATCATCGGAACGTTCAAAAATCAAAATTCCACATAAAAAGTCGACGGAGATGGAAAAAAACAACGCCGGAACTCCAACAAAAGTCAAAGTATAGGTTCTCATTTGTGCTACTCAACGTTAATCGTCATTTCAGTTCTACCATGACACTTCCGATCCATCGGCTGCAGTTTTTGCAGAGTCTTGGCATGATAAGCGCGAGCGTATTCGAGCATGCAGCAATTATGGCGGTTATGATGAATGGGATTTGATTCCTGTTATTGTCAAATATGGAGATGACCTGACACAAGAATCATTTGCACAACAGCTTCTACAAACGTTCAAGGTTTCTCCACACCATTTTTGTTGAGATTCAATTTCTTTTCATAGGACCTTTGGAGAGAAGAGGGTGTTCCTTTATATGTGAGACCTTACAAAATTGTGTGCGTTGGGCCGGAAGCTGGGCTCATTGAGCCCGTGTTGGATACATTGTCGCTTCACCAGATCAAACGGCATTTGACGAATGTGTTTCGACAGAAAGGAATCCCACTTACGCCAACATTGAGAAATCATTTTGAAGACATGTTCGGACCACCAGGAAGTGAGAGATACGTCAAGTAAGCTCATTGTCATTCTGAATATGTTAACGGAGAAAATTTCGCTTTAGTGCCCAAAAGAATTTTATTCAAAGCACTGCTGCGTATAGTTTGATAAGCTACTTCCTACAGCTCAAGGATCGGTATGAGTAAACTGAAAATCAATTTGATTGTGCATACTTTTTTTTAGACATAATGGTAACATTCTTCTTGATCTTGAAGGTCATCTTATTCATATCGACTACGGATTCCTCCTTTCATCATCTCCAAGAAACTTGGGATTCGAAACTGCTCCGTTCAAGCTCACCACTGAATTAAGTAAAATTTTCAGCTTCTTTTTTTTTTAAAGAAAATATCACTTTCAGTCGACGTTATGGGAGGATATGACAGTGATATGTTTCTTTACTACAAAAGTTTGCTGCTCCGCGGTTTGATGGCAGCTCGAAAACACCACCGCAGAATTGTATCGCTTGCTGAAATAATGTCTAATGGTAAATCGAATTTGAAGAAAAGTAAAATCAAATGATATGAAAATGAGAAAATGTTTTCAGGCTCAAAAATGCAATGCTTCCGCGCAGGACCTGAAACAGTTCGATCCCTTGAAGCAAGATTCCATGTTTCGAGCACAGACGAGCAACTTCAACAACTGGTGACATCAATTCAATGCTACCTTTTAAATGTCATTCAATCTTCAGGTTGACGCTCTTGTTGATGGGTCTCGAGACAGCTATACTACACGATTCTATGATTCGTTTCAATATTACACCAATGGAATTCATTGATTTCTAATTTATCTCTTTCATGTTGTTCATTTACTCGTTTGAATATGATCTCTTCATTATGTAATTCAAAAACAATGTAGGTTTTACGATTAGATTTTTATCTATTCAAAATGTCTGTAAACAAGTCAAATCGCCCTGTTGAACTATCAAATCACTGGTTTCGCTCATTTACGGTTGTATTATTTATGATCACTAGTTTTATATCTATTTTATTCTGTTGTGAATGAGTGCCTTTGAATAAATTACATGTTTGGTGTTTAAAAAAACTTTATATCCAAATACACAAAATTATATGAAAATGTAGAAAAAGAAAAAATTTAAATAATTACAATTTGCTATTCTTTCTGGCCTCGACCATCATTGGCTTCAAATATTGTTCGTACGTCGAAAGAACCTGGAAATTCACTATAATTGCATCGCCTATTAAATATAATCATTATTACATCATGCTTGTTCAGATTGCTCTCCTTCGCCCATTTGAACAGATTTTCGTAAACATGTCCATCTCTTCTTCCCAGAACCGAACGCAATTCGCGATCGCTAATCTCCCAAGAATCGACGAAAGACACAGCATTTGGTCGAACTTTTTCAAGGTAGTAATACAATTGGTCACGGATATAATCAAGTTGAGAAGTGCTCAAAAATCCATCCTAGATATTGAATTAGATATTCAATTAGAGATTTTCAATTTCGTCAAACCTCAAGAGCATACTGAGACATGTCGAGCAGCTCATAGTTCATATGAAGATAGAGCAAGTCGGTGAGAGCATTCTTAACATCGAAGTGAATTACTTCATTGACGCGTCTGACAAACGCTTCAACGATGTAGAGTCTGGTGTGAAGTCGACTTGCCTATAATTTAAAAATTATAATTTAATTATTTAACATGAATACTTACTCTGTTTAACTCCACTGATGACATATTCCATGCCAACTCCTTTTGAGTTCCAGACTCGACAAGTGACAAGAACTTTTCAGCAGCTTTGAAGGTTTGTCTCCTCGCGATATGGCGGAAAGTTTTCACGTAAACGTCAAATCCTTTACAATTTCGACTTTTATTTATCGACCAATTAATTAATCTTACCTCCATTTGGAATACGATCAATAAGAGAATTTGGTTCGCTCTTCTCGCCGAGATACGAGACAAGTGGTCCGAGTTTGTGCGAATAACCACTCTTGACCAATCCGACCGATTTGACAAGATATCTTGCCAACTGAAGAAGCATGACCATATTTTCTCCTTCATAGGTGCATCCTCCGATTGCAACACCATAAATTTCATTGAAATAACTTGCCAACGAATATCCGTGACCTCCACAAGACATACGAGCCTTAAAAAATTCATAAACCCCTAAAGTTCAATATAGTTCAAAACCTGTTCCATTCCTTGTCCAGCGAGATAAGTGACCACAGATTTCAATCCAGAAGTTAATGCATGAAGGTCAGCCATCAATGACATGTCGCCAGTGGCAATTTGGCTGAGAACCTTCTCGTAAAGGCGAACAGTTTCAGTTCCAGCAAAGTTGAATGCATAAGCTCTTGCAATGTGTGGGAAGAGACGATGTTGCTGAGTTTGATATTCAAGAACTTTCACTTCCTGTCCTCTACAAAATTGCTATTAGCAAGTTAAAATTGAAAAAAAATGCGGAATGTCTTACTTTGGGTCAATAAATCCTTGTCGACGAACCGACGAATACCTCACTGCGATGGTCAAGCATGAGGCCAAGAATAGTGCCTGGTGTGAAATCATATGCGCTCTGACGTGCACCATAGCAGAGTAATTGATCTTGGAGTTCTGAGGCTTGATAAAAGTTCCATCTCGCTCAACCTTGGAGTGTCTCATCAACATATGTCTTCTTGGAATTCGGACATGATCGAATCCAAGGAATCCGTTATCCGTCATATTGTATGCCATTTTTGGTCCAATGTCACCAATGGTTATACCTTAAATTCGATTTGCCATCTGAATACAAAAAAATTAATATTACCTTTCAATGGAACATGTGTGTTTTCATCTCTCAATTGCACCAGAAAAGAGTGCGGTCCATAATTTTTTCCTTTAATGATCAAGCTTGCAACAACGACGGCATAATTTGAACTTTTGCCCAAATTTCCCGGCCACCTAAACTTATAAGTATTAATAATATAAGATAAAAAATCATACCATTTAAGGGCCGTGATTTGAGGAGTATGAAGCACAAATTCGTCGGTAGATTCATCAAAAGTTGCAGTTGTTTCAAGGCTTCTCAAATTTGTTCCTTAATTGGCAAAATTAATTATTTCACATTGCGGTTGAAACTTTACCATGACCCAATTCGGTTTGAGCATATGTACCAATAATTTCCCGACGTAGGGCTCTAGTGAGCCACTTTTTCTGTTGCTCATCGTCTCCATGACCACGAAGCGATGGAATGAACATGACATTGTGAAGGGCCATTGGATGACCTTCAAGTCCCAAAACTTCACTGCAATTATATTTTTTATTATTTCATTTGAAAATAACAGTTAATTACTTTCCAAAATGAAAAACTTCAGCGGCGTTCGAGAAATCAACGATATTATTCATGTGCTTCGTAAGAACAACCAATTTTCTAGCTGCTTCTGATACTTTTTCTTCACGGCTCATGAATGGGTATGGCTTCGAATCATGAAGCTCCGGAATCTTTTCAACGGCTTCAGTAATTTCAAGACGTCTTCTCGCATTCTAAAACTTTTTTAATGTCTCTGAAAAATATTTCAAAGCTACCACAGGTCCACCATGAAGTTCTCCGGCCATTGCATGAGTGTCAAACGTGGCAGTGAGTCGTTCAGCAGTAAGATCCGGATTATCGCCATCACGAATACACTTATTCAAATGGTTAGACATTTCCTAAAATAGCTTCGTGGACAATTGTATAGAGAAAATGAAGCGAACTGATCAACAAATGTGAAGAGATAATGTTAATAAACAACAAAATCTTATCAAAGGCGGGTAGAAGGTACATTGTAGTGTTGTGATCAACACCTCGAATGGAAGGTTAGTTTCAAAAATGAACGTAACGGTTCCTGAGTCAGCATGGGCTACACTATAGCAAATGGTGATGCTGATCAAAATTCAAGAATAATAAGGAAATTATTTATATATGTACTCTACGATCGTAATAAACTCGGTCAAATTTAAAACAAATGTTCATATCAAAGTACGTAAATGATGATAACAAATGTGTACTTTTGCAAATTATTGTGGTCAATACACAATGATTATGGTATAGTACGATGGAAATAATGAATGGCAATAAGAAAAAAATTGTCTAATCGAATTGAGATTTGGGTATATGAACGAGCAATATATTTTAGATGTCACGAGACCTCGGAAAATCGGCTAAATGCCAAAAAATGGCAGTGGACTTGAAGCAAAACTGAAAGTGTAGATTTACGAGCCTATGCATTGGGATAGTTTAAAGGCGCACACCGCGCTTCACTCTAATTTTTTGTGGCATTTACCCAATTTTCCGAAATCACGCGACTTCGACAATGCCAGACAAATTTATTTTACCATTGCAAAATACGAGCATCCTGAGTATTTGTGGACCATCGTATTTGCTGTGGCGGTAATTCAAATTTAAAATTAAGAAATGAGAATAAATCAGCGATTCAAACTCACTGTGAATCAGCCCGTGGTGCTCATTTTTTTGTGTGCGATTACAGCAGCTTCTACTTTTTTGCATTGAAATCACCCAAAAATTAAAAAGTTTTGTTGCATGTTTTTTTCGTCGTGGTAGGAATACTAAAAAGTTTAAAAAATGAAGAGCTATCTTCTTCCAAAGTAAAATGAAATTTACGCATTTTTTTGTTGCAACTGACTACTCTATAATAATTTTTTAAATTCTCGAACAGTTTTTCATAACTTCAAAGTATTTCACGCTTTCAAATGGTTGATTCATCTTTGTTAATTTTAAATGTTTTTTCAATTCGAAAATTTTTAGGGAATGAAAATGACATAACATTGTTAAATTTCACTGAAAAATTTCTCTCTTCAGTTTTCCATTTTTAAATTCATAAATATTTGGTAATTTTAAGAGCTCATTCATTCATTTTACCGCGAAGAAAATTGTTGCTAATTCAGTTGGCTCCATTTTTCCGAATGATGAATTGGACTTGTGCAGCAGTGTGCTGCCTTTAGCTCTTTCAACATTGCTAGTTTCATTTTTTTCGTCGAACAATCAGATTTTCCACAATTTTTTCTTTCGCATGTTTTATGACACCATAAATCTTGTAAACGTTTCCTTCACCAAAAATAACATCAATCATCGGGCGGTCATGGTGTAAGCCGTTCCACAATTGCAAATAATTGTTGGAGTTTGTTTTCTCGGTACGAATTCATTGGGTTGTTTCTCACGTTTGAGTCTATATAAGGAAGGATCGGTCGTGATTTCAAAAATCAAATTTCCTTTACGCAGAACGCTGTCCTTCAAATTTCTTAGTTCCTTCATTTTTTTTGCCCATCGCAATTTTTTTTCAGCTTAACACATGATATTTAATTTATACGTACTTGAAAAAAAATTATATCTTATTTTTATATCGTAGTGCGGTGCACAGCATAATTTTACTATTGTCTTTTCAAGGACCCCGTAACATGCAAATTCAAGCCAACAGATGGCCCCATTTTTTGTAATTAGCTTCTATAGAATTAGCATATAAGAATAATTAATGTTCGCCTCATGTTTCTAGTTTCCAGCCAAAATACGGGAACTTTTGGAAACAAAAACAGAAGATTCAATTTTGTTCTGGACTAGTTTTGACTAATCAGCGACACAAAAAAATAGGACGAAACGAAAAAAAGATGGGCCAAATACTCCGCGCTGAGTGGACACGCAATGTCATTGAGAAGAGCTAATAACGGACATCTCTGCTGTAGTCGCATCATAGCGAATATATAAATGACGGGGGATGACCTTTTCCCAACCACCTTTACTACTATATTTATCGCAATATTCCCGCTTTTATCTCTCTTTGTTTTGACCTTTAATATCATTTTTTATGATCAATTCGAGCAAACCATTAGGCTCCTAATTTCCAAGAAAATATTTTTCGGCACTTATGACCCGTTTAATTACTTTTTTTCCGACACTTTTAAGCATTTGCGTAACTTCTCCGCTCCAACATTTTTCAACATTTATTTTTTAACCAACATTTCCTTTTTAAAACTCAGAGTTCCTCAAACTGTGCATTATTAATTAAAGGAATGCATAATTATCTTCCGTGATTTTTGAATTGCATATTCAATGTTCAAATATAAGGCAAACCGACATCGTGGAAAAACCCAACCTCATTTGAATTTGCTTCCTTGTTTAAATTATGCGTATCGTTATCACACAAAATATTTTCCATAATACAAGTGAGCCACTATCAATGCAAAAGTCTAACAGAAATTTTAATCAGAAGAAAGAAAACACTATTGAAAGGTGAATCCCCTTTTGATTTAGACACGGAATCAAATATAACATATATAATAATACACATTAGACAGAAGTAAATATATAATCCATTTTATAAAATATATCCCTCTCAATATGATATCATATATTTTTCAAACTGAAAATGAAGTTCTTTCGAGAGACGAAAGAGATATTGCCCTGATGTTTTTAAAGTTAAGTTTTTTTTTTGCAAAATTGCGTCACACGTGTTTTGAGTGCTCAAGACAGCAATCTTTCCAGAACAACAGCGTTCTTTATTTCGAATCTTATTCATTATCTTATTATTTTTCACTAAGAATTTTATTTTGAAATTTTCTTTGACAATTCAACAACTAGTTCCATCTATACATATTTGCATAGGTCTTTTTAGGGTCCCCAAACATTGAACGCTGTCTCTCAGTTGGTTTACGACCTTTACACAAAAGTAGTATAGACCTAATTGATACAACTGCGAATTAAAAAAAATAGTTCGATGCAATTAGCTCGTAATGTTATTTTGATCTTGGCTCACATTTGATGATGCTTGGGTGGTGAAGAGCGATATTACAACCTGCTCCAGCTCAATTCATTTTCACATTCATAGCCACACGTCTCATTTAAATCTGTTTTCAATAACAATCGAATTTGATTTCATTTTTTTTTTCATTTCTTGGCTAGTGTTTTTCGTTTCGTGCAAATATGCGAAAATGTCGAAATTATGTTGGTATGCGTATACATTTTTTTTGATCGCTCACTAAAATAATTTGCTCATTTTTAAGCATGTCAAACCATTTTTCGTCAAAATATGAAAGCGGAACTCGAGAGAATAAAAGAAAAACGAGTTTTCAATGCACAAAAAATGTGTTCTTATTTCTTCACTAGGCCATTTTTTCTATGGTTCTTATTATTATATTATATCCTTTTTTATTATCATTATTATACATTCCAAGAACCAGGAAACAATTTCCTTGTTTATCCATAAGATTCACGACCTACATTCTGTCAGCTAGCAAAATTACATGTCTGCCGTATTGGCTTTGATGTCATAACATTTTCTGAAAATTTTCCCATTTCTTTTCAAAAAAAACCAAAGAAAGGAAAGGAATAGTACAGCGATTTTTCTATCTGGCTAAGCGCCAAAAAATTGCACAAAACTAGTCAAGAAATATTGGAAGCCCTCAGAGACCTTTTCGTTTTTGTCGTCGCTCACCATCATCTCATAGTTGAGAGCCACACACAAATCTTTTTCGTTTTTGGGCCCTTATTCAAATGTTTGTGGTTTGCCATTTCATCTTTGATTTAGCTAATTACTTACTCGCATTTGTAATTGATATTTGCTGGCGATTGGGTTTTGGTTAGGACGGCAACACCACGCGCGACTTTGACGAGATCGAATTTCGAATAAATAAAATTGCAACGTTGTACAAGTCTGCTATTTAAATATGTGTATTTCTTTGAGAAAGGCTTATAGCGAATACCATTCTCTTGTCGTTATCACTACAATTTTTCGGGACTTCTCAAAGTTACTGAATATTCGAGCTCTTATTAAATTATCAAATATCTATCAAACATTGTCTTTTTAATTTCCCAGGACATTTATTGAAGAAATTGCTGTCTGCCTCATGATTCTATCATTGGCCAGGCTTTTTGATAATTGAAGTATTTGCTTCCCATTCACACATAATTATAAAACGTTTACTCATCGCTACGTTTTTCACAAGTTGAGAAATGAAAATTTCGGATGCTCAGGATTCCGTACTCAAAAGCTGAGCTACTACTTTAGACAGCTTAACGGAGTATTTGATTCTAAAAACTCCCCGTTTTATTGCTTCCTCCCCCCCCTTCCCCCTGCAAACAGCATCCACAAGTTGAGTGTCCAACTGTCCCATGGGGTCAAATCTTCTTACCCGGCCATCCTCAATTTTTTTTCTTTCTACTCACTTCATTCCACTTGTGCGCATCACGTGTTATTTATCCGAATATTCAATTGTCGCCATGAAAAGTTGTGAATTGTGTATTTTTCAAGGCGGCCAGACAACAAGTCCATTTAATATTATATGCAGTGTAAGACAAATTGCATTCAGAAATTAATGTGGCCCACCCATCCCCTCCCCTCCCCTCCCCCCCTCCCCCGGTCGACTATAGTCGTTTGGATCAGAAAGATTGTCTCGATTGTTCATGCGAAATCGAGGCGCCAACAAAATAAATTAGATGAAACAAAAGGGTTGAAGTTGAGATACGCACGTGGTAGTCGAGCATCTGCCTTCTTCCCCTTACCCTCCGCGCACACTGATTAAATTTTATTGTATAGATGTGCGCGCATCGCTAAAATGTCATTTCTCATTAAGGGGCTCTTGCTAGAGCGGCCAACACCAACCCACCACCACCAACACGATTTGTCCCGTCTGGCCTTCTTCACAATTACTCACTTATTATTATTAATGTATTATTTGCTGAGTTCCCACCAAATCATATAAAATTTTGCTCCCACTATTATGAATTCAGTTGCATTGTCATTAGCATAAATTGCATCGAAATTTTTTTTTATTATAAATGATTTGGTCTAGAAGCAGACGGAGCTCCATCCTCCTCCTCCCACCCGCGGAAGTGAAATTGTTTCCAGTTGATGTGAACTCTGCCGCATTTTGTGTTATTCTTAAAACAAAACAGCGCGATTTCATCGAAAAAAAAACAAATCCATCAAGATTGTTGTACGAATTCATTTCAATCTCGTCGCATCAATTATTATACGTAATGTGAGCGTTTTTTGATCGTCCCGACCCCACCGGATTCTGATTTATGCGTTCCCGACGCCAAGTTTCCTTTTATTTTCTATGTGCTTGCTTGTTTTTTCTTGCCTTTCTTTTGCGGACCCCTTTGCATTTTTTTGTTTTAGCTTCCATGCGTGGTTTGTATTCGCAAATAATCGCTATGGACAGCCAGTCTTTCAACGTTCAATTTTAGTTAGCACTCAGCCATCGCAAAAAGCTTTGCAGCGCAAAAAAAAACGATTTCCCACCATTCTAGGATAACACGCGTTTGTTTTTTGTTTTAAAGAAAAAGGAAAGGAAAAAAAACATAATTGACTTATCTACATTTTGTTCTTTTTCGTCGTGGGAACCACGTGTTTGCGCTAGTCTACTGAAATAAAAACGAAAGAAGAAGACATTTGAGAGATACAAATTTATTTCCAAATTTCAACATTTCTGACCTGCAATCGGATTAGCGGTTTTCGCTTTATGGTAATTCTGAAAAACTGAGTTTTTGTATTATTCTGACCACTATCATCGTAAAATTATTATAAACTCAATTTGAGCAACGGCTGAAAATGGCCGAAAAACATTATTATATCTCCCAAAAATTACCAAATTAAAACATTTAAATTCTTCGAATCTGAGTACTTTAGACCTATTTGCTTTCATTATCTAAGTGTTTTCCTTGAAGCCTTCTTCCAAAGTTCGGCGAGCTTCTTCGCCACAACACTTGTACTTTATCAAATCTAGTGTAAACATCCGCCCATTCCTCAATCAAATTTATTACGAAACTTTTCTACTATGTCTCTTCCCAAAAATTTGCAACAAATCGGCTCACAATGAAAACTCATTTAGCATTGTTCGAAACTCGCACAATAATCAAATCAAAAGACCACAATTTTGACCTCGTTGTGACGTACAACTGCTGCGCAACACTGTATGTATTATCACGAGAAACGAAGGGATGCTCGTTGAGAGGGTCAGCAAGTGTCGAAAAACTATTCAAACTGCGTTTATTTGTTTTGTTTCTGTATAGTCTCGTGGGGCAACCGTTGTTTCTTGAAAGATTTGTGCGAGCTCGCCGACTACCGGTTAAATCGGGAGTTTGACTCAGTTCTATGTATTGTACTTAGAAACGTTTTTGCTACCACTTAGAAAAACAATGGTTTTACGCTTCATTTTCTCCCAAGCAACGCCTTACATAAACAAAATTCGGCTTGAATGTGCTCCGACTCCGAAACAAAAAATTAATTACCATTGTTTTAATTGGATCTATTCAGTGATTGCAAAATTGCCAAATTTGTCATTTTTAAGCTATTCGGTAACATTGGTCAAATAAAAATGACTGTAACTCTGAAATGATTCATAAAAGATGCTTTTAATATTCTCTTAAAAAAGCGCTAACTTATTTGAAGACTGACTATTTTTTCCTAGAATAAACAGGGTTCCAATTATTTTCTTCCTCTTTGTCTATAGACGCACTATCAATTACATATCTCCAAAACCTTTGATTTATTGAGCCATTCCAGGTGGCCTGCTTCGCCTCCCTCCTTCTTTTGTTCCGATTTCTTTCATCTTCGCCTTCTTTTATTTTTTCCCTCCTCGTTTCAATCTATTTATTCGTTGTCGCCGTCATGTAAGGCAGCGGAAAACAAATTAAATATAACACAAGGCTTTTCCTCAGTTCGTCCAGAAACACCCCGTCAAAGAAAGAAGAAAAAAATATATACATATAGAAATGTTTGTCGGTCCACAACGTACTATGACTAAACACGGTGTTCTTTCAAATTGTTTTTTTTCCAATGCTTCGACCCTCCTATGCCTCACAAAACTTTATACATGTACATAAGTGTCATTTTTATATTGTTGAACTCTGTTGCCCATCATAAATGCATTTGATAAATTTTTTTCCTCGCGGCTCCTTATTGGCCATTGTCGTTGTTTTATATGCTTGGCGCAAAGTGCCTCTCAATATTCCACTTTTACAGAGGGGGTCTCAAATCTTGGTTATGTGCTAATCATAAAAAAAACTATATATAATGGAAGAAGAATGGGGTTGCTCGGCATTGGGCACATCTGCCAACGACAGCGGAGTGTCGACGATCGACTCGACGTGTTCGGTTCAGTTGCAATTGAACTCTCCTGCTCACAAGGATACCATTGTTGAGGTACGTACCTTCCATTTCAAATTCTGCGCATTATTCAGCATTGCTCAAAAATGGCTGACGGTTTTCCCTTTGTTCGCATTTCGCCATTGTGTGACACGGATGAGATTCTTATTCACACTACAAACGAAATCGTGAAATTCGTTCCCTTATTCATATTCATTCTATATCGATTTAGCATGCTTCTTAATGCCAGCGTTTCCGCTCTCCGTGCTACTCAGTATAAGTACAGGAACACCAAACATCTTATAAATTTAATTAGATTGTTGTGTTCTCTTCCCTCCGAAAACAATCACCACTAATTTCAACGCATTCTGAGTGTTCCGTTAAGTGTTCGATATTTTCCATCTCGGAGCCCCTCTTTTTTCCAATGTTAGCAGTTTCTACAAAGCATTGTCGCAGAAATTTGAATAATTTGATTTTGAGCTTTTGAACATTCCTAGGAGACGTTTTGCTCGCCGCATATTTTCCTCCTCTCCTGAGATCTCTTCTCGCCGGTTCCAACACTTTTATGTAACAAAATCTTTGCTAGTGATGATTCAACCAGAACAAAAATTGCGGTTTGTTAATGAATATTGGAAGTGTTTGTTTTTCATGACTAATCAAACTTTAAACATTTTTCCATTTTTATATAGTGCGGCAATCCAATTCAAAATTTGTAGCACAATTTTTTCCTCACATGTTCTCCGTGCGCACAAAGAAAATGTGGGGCGGAAGTGTTATGTACCTTAAAATTTTAACTCCAATAACAGAATATCAAAATTATAATCCTTTAAGCTCTTGGCCAACCCCATTGCAAATAAAATGTTACAATATCTACCTTATCAATCATTGTCCAGAATCAAATTCGAATCAAAATCTATCAATATTATTGACATCAACAAACCGTAGGAATCATTTTTGATTGCAATCAGTAGCTGTTACATATTTGGAGGATGTTTAATTAATTTATTTATTCTGCCATAATTCGTGTCAACCAGTTTGTTTGCAGATACTCATGAACGAGCACAATAACAACGTGACAGCTCAAATCGACGTTGTCAAGTTGCTCGAGTTAAAGTCGACCGATGAGGATGACGATGATCAGCATTCGAATTCGAGCAGCTTGGAATCAATTACTTCTCTTCGCAATCATCAAGGTTTGTCACATTCCTACTATTTTGAAATGCGTTCCTGACACTTTTCTTGACTCCTTTTTGTCGTTCTTATATTTATTTTTTTTTTGAGTTGAGGAGATTAGCGCTAAAACTGCAGGGTTAATCACTTTAATTCCCCCTATTGTAAAATTTTACTTTTTCTTAGGAAGTCAAGAAAGAGACGACGAGGAAGACGACGGCGGATCTGGGTCCACATCGTGCTCAGAGGATTCTTTTGAGATGTCAAGTGCGTGCAGTATTCAACAGGCCAATGGTAAGTAGGTTTACCTCGATCTTCCTGCTTTTTTTTTTCAAAAACGGGGATATTCTCCATGGGGAATTCTCTCAAAGATGCCCTCAAAAAAAAACGTTTGAACTTCTATTTTTCAAATTTTAGAAGATTTATATATACAATGAACTTTTATATATTGCAACTTTATAACATTCAAATTGAATATAATTAAGGATTAACACGCGATTCTCGAGAAACCACATGTGAAAGCTTTGATGAAATGAATAGTGTGGTGACTTCGAATTCAACATTAAACGAATGTGGATATGAGTGAGTTTTATTTGATCATTTCAATTGCTCTTTATTACTTTCTTCAACGCTTCGTTTGTTTTCGTAATACTGAATGTCGAAGCGAAAAAATGAATATTCGGCGATTCATATTAATGTCGCAGACGTTGCCCGCCCACCACAAAAAAGGGGCGTCGGCGTCGGCGATGAATATGGTCAATTTGCAGACACTATTATAATATAAATTGAGAGCAACCATCAAATTTGGGGTGCAAAAAACAAGGCAAAATGCTCCGTCTAATTTGAATGTCGCGCTCTTTTTTCTACTTGGGGGTGTTTATGTCCCATTTTCTTCTCAGGCTTCTTAGCTATTCGGTTTCCAAATGTCTTAAATGAACCCGGTGGTTATTTGAAATTTTTTTTCAGACGCTGTAAGCCATCGTCATCATATTCGGTTGATTCGTTTATTGCCGCCGCGAAAAAAGCAGCATTTAAGCCAGTGAGTCCCTCGTTTGAGAAAATCCGAAGTCGAGTGGCCAATCAGATTGATCAGCTTGATACAGGTTAGTTATCTCTTAGTATGTCGTTTGATGAAAGATAAGAAACTGCATAGAAACGAGATATTCGAATAATCTCAAACTATCATGAGAAGCTTTGCTTTAATACATATTGCTTTTGTCATTTGAAAGAATTGGCGCTCTGAAATTCTAGACGCATTATTTAGAAGGCAATGTAAAAAAAGAATATAGTCGCTTTAAAGATGTCTTTCTAATTGGGTATTCGTTTCCTTGTTTCTACCTCATGATATTTTGTGAAGAAAATTTGGCCACTTATCAACCTATAATTATGTTTACAACCAACTTTTCGTCAACGCTTCTTTGAAGAAAAATTTTTTCAGAATCCATTTTGTTAAGTAATGTCAATAGTTTTGACTTTAAGCCGTTTTCATCTAAACGACATGAGAAGTTGAAAACTCGTGAACAATTGCCTCAAATAGTTTTTGCAACCAATTTTTTAGCGCAAAAATAAGTATTAACTCATATTAATAATATTAAGGTCTTCCGAACTTGGATTTTGACAAACTTGAAAAACAACTGACGACCGCAGCTCAGGAAAGAGAAGACCTAGAACGAAGAATGCTTGGAGAAGAGGTATTGAATTTCAGATCCTTTGACATTTATTGTATAGCTCCCCGCCATCTTTGTTTGGCAAATTTGTCCATTCCCTCGTTGCGATGGGTTACGGTAGTTTATTAGCCACATATTTCAAATATCCTATTGTGTGAAATCTTATGGGTGTTTTTTTCGGTATGAAATGAAACGCCTTCCTGAGTGATTAATTTTCAAGGCAAAATTGAACCAATTCCGTTTTATTTCTTTACCGCTGCTTAGTGAGTATTTATGACCGCGCGATTTTCTGCCTCGACGTCTTCATTTTTTTCTACTCCCCCCTAACCCCCATCTGTTTTACAATGCCATCCTCATTATTCTATTCTGAGTAACTCAACCCACGCACGCGAACATTCATTTATTAGCAATCTTATTGAATGAAAAGAAAAAAGAAGTCAATTTAATATGGATGCGACTAATTTTTTAATATGAAGAGTATAGATGTCATTTATGAAATTTGATACTTAAATCCTTCCCCATTCTCTTACTAAGATGCAAATGATGTATGGTCAATATTCTAATTTTGACATATTTTCTAGGTTCGACGACGCTTGGCGATGCAAGTCGATTCTCACGTGGGCCCATCTCCTCAAATATATACACGTCCACACAGATCTAATCTTGCGCTGAGACTCCAAACTGCAATGAATCTGCAGGTAATATCGGCTTCTCTTATATATATTTTTCTTTTCTTTTTGAATAATATTTTATATAAATGTCAATTCAGGTTTGCTATATGAATGAAATGAGTGAAAGCGAAACTGACAATGATGATGATGATGACGATGATGAATCCGAAGATGATTCAGATATTGAGTGCATGGTGCGGAAAAGCAAATCGGCGCCGAATTTGAAAAGTGAGCTTTGCTCTCAGCATTTGTTGAATATTGTTCTTCTAGATGCACTGAAAAGTTCAAATCGCGAAGCTCAGAAGATCAAACAAATCACTGAAAAACTTCACAGAGATGAAGATTTAACGAATGGTAGTTAATATTTCTCAATTCATTAATCAGAGCATAATTAACGTTTTATAGAAGATCGCGCAGCTCTATTGAAGTTTGAAAACCAACGGGTTACATTCATTGCCAAGAACAAGGCGGATACATCACTTTCCGATTATAGAAGGTTTACAAGAAATTGAATAAAAGTATTTGATCACAATCATTTGCAGGGGTAAATCGAAAGCCAGCGATGTTCCACGACAAGCACGGCAATATTTGAGTAAAATGAAAATAAGAGAGATTGATGCAATACGGCAACTGATTGAAAACGCAATAGCAAGTGAGTACTGTGACAAATAATGAGTATCACAAATGGGTGTCTCTCAGAAAAGAATATGGAGCTGGTGCAACTTTTACTGGAGCGTGATAGTTTACACATGGAGCATGACTCGTTGAGAGTTGATATTGATGACTTGACTCAACAAGATCAGGTAAACAAAAAAACTATTCTTGAAAAACTATTCTAGAAAAATATGTATTGAAAGCTTTTCTTGAAATCAATGTACTGAATTCAGGCGTCTCGAATGGATTTCAAGCAGTTGCTCAAACTCCAAGAAGATATTGAAAATGTTCAAATTGAGACCCCTCGCATTGAATACCCAAAGCAACTACCTATTGAAAAGAAGCCGGATACTACAAAGAAGCCGGTAACACCGGTGACACCAATGACAACCCCAACCACACCGACTATTTCACTTTCATCTGTTTTCCCACCTTCTTTTAGCATTTCGTCATTATTCAAACGATAATTGGCGTATATTACGCTTGAATGCTCTCTCTTCCAGTTATTAAATAGTATTTTATCAGGTGTTTCGTTTTTTTTTTTTCATTGAAATTCAGATTGTTTAGTATAAATAATTTATTCACAGACTCAATTTTGTACACCGAAATCATTATAATTGGTATATTTTAACGTATGTTTGTTGAAGGATTGGTCAGTGCGATGACGATCCCATTGTGAGAAGCTCTTCGATAAAACTGAAATATTATTATTTAAGATTAAGCGAATAATAAAATCTATGTTTTAACTAGTTGATATTGAACCTCCCCGCTTCTATCAAACACGATGAGCCATTAATTATGTGTCCATATAAGTGTGAAACAATTTTTAAAAACCGCAATTTTTCCAAAATTTATGTTTTTTGTTCAAGATGATTAAATCGCTTTTTTTTTATTTTCGTCATTATAGAAGAACAGTGATTCAATATTTAGAACTAACAAATTATGCGAAATGCTCAAATTGCAAATAGGTAATTGGATCATCGTGTTCCAATATTAGTTTTTTTGTGGTGTCTGGCTCAAAAAATATTGGCCAATTATACATACAATCTCCCCAAAAAAAAAGTAAAATTAAAAGAAAACAGTTGGTTGTAAACGGTGTCAGTTTAAGATAGTGACAAAATTCAGCGTTTAACTAGAATCGCATACCTTTTTGTGTTCAGAACTGTGTTGCTCGACAGAATCACTGATGGTCCGCCTAATCCTTGAGATCGTTTATCATTAAGCGATCTCACAAATGCCGCTTCCTCAAATGTTGCTCCTCCAACAATAAATATGATAACATTGTCATATCGTTGACTGAAATAAAACAATATTATTTAAAAAAGTGACATACATTCAAAAAAAAATTGTCATAGAATAACTAACACATCAATATCAACCAGTGGATAATTCTCCAATTGCTCATTTCGACTGCGAATCGACTCAATAATTCGTTTAAGATACGGCTCATGTTGAGTGTAAATATTTTCAACTCCTTTGATGCCTTTCATAATTCTAAAAATAAAAAAAAATTCTTGAAATTGTTTTGGTCGAAATCTCCTACTTCTTCGTGATCTGGTTGGTAAGCCCTTCTCCAAACAAGTTATTCGATCTTCTTGAATTTCCTCCATAACGGAGAAGATTCTTCACAATTTGTGATGCCTTTGGCTCCTGAAACTAATCGTTATTAAAAATAACGTCAAGCCATAAGTTTAACCTTTAATCTAAGAGCAGTGAGAAGAGAAGACAATTCATTGTACGGATGGTTCTCAAAGCGAAGAGCGTATATCATAACTAATCGAAGAGCATCCTAAATGAATCGAATGAAATTTATAAATTCAAACGAAACGATACTAGGTTTGTAGTTTTAGGCTGCTGTATTAGAGCTTTAACCCTGTCCAAGCATTTTCCGTGATCGCCTTCAACCGCAATCGACTGTTCGACTTCTGAGATTTCCAACAGATTGTGAGATTGCACAACTTTGCTCAATGACTCAACGAGTGTGACGTGTTTCGAAACAGATCCTACATGAGATCGTATTAATTTAAAAAAAAGAAAGCGACCGAACCGGATATTTTTTTGAATTGTGGGTAATCTTCAACAAACTTCTTCAAATCTGATATTGACTCTAGGTTTTTGTGAACATTTGACTTCTGCTGGAACTCGCCAATGAGTGTCTTGATATTTTGACCGATTTCGCCAAAATTAGATACAATGTTCTGCAATATTATTAACTAGTGTCGGCCTATTGAATATCATATTTTTTTAAAAATTGAAATGAATATTTTTATATATCTTTTTTTTTTCAAAAATCATCAAGTCTGAAGTGCGAGTGACATTGCTTGAATGTACGTCACGCATCCGAGTTTTTTTTTCTTTATGTGCACGAAAGGATGTGGCATCTCTTATTTGGTTAACTGAAGCACTTTATCAAGCTGTGTGGGCTCTACAAGGGAGCATGGGAAGTAATGGAAATGATTCAATTTTAGATGAAAACTTTTGCAGAAATTCATATGAATAACTAATACGAATGAAAAAATATTAAATTAATAATAAATATTTAAAAAAAAATATTTTTGAACCTGTGTGAAGAAGTCATCATAGAGTTCGCTCAAAACCATACTTTGTCCCTCAATCGACACCCGATTATTCGTGATGGTGAAGAGTTCATGAATCTAAAATGTAATTGCATGAAAATCCTTATTGCTAAATAGCGTTACCATGGCTTCATACGTCCATTGGTTTAAAAGCGGAGTCAATGCATCATGAGATCGTTCTATAATAACCACTACGGCATCGGAATGACACTGTTCAAATAAAATGGTATCTCGTTTAAATTGCGAAATTGCTTCTGCCAATCGTTTACAAGTCGGCGATGAACGTTGATATCTAAAATAAATAAATTGCACCCAAAAAAATCAAACTTATCATACCTGACGGCTGGGTTTTTCTTTAATTGAAGCAATAATGCCTCGAGACCCTGTCTAATTCTTTCATAACACACGGGTGAGATCTGCATATGATTATCATAGATTTTGGTGACGTTTAAGGAATGCAAATCTCTGCGCAAAGGAACCCCATCCATGAAGAACTCATGTACTTCACGTACCTGAAAAATCAATTATTTTCATTAAAAAATAGTTTTTCGTAGTCCTACCACTTCGTTTTCATCTGCCTCCGCAATTCGCTTAATGTCACTCTTTTGAACAACATTTGCAAAATCTGCAATTCTTTACTAAATTGTTTAAAACATCTCAAAACTTACAAATATAATATTGATTATACTTTGGACGTCGAACTTCCTGTACGAGAAGTTTAATGTTCTCCTCAGTTGGGCGAACAAAAACAATACATTTGAGATGGCCAATTGGCTCACGCGGAACTTTTGAATCAAGTCTATCAAACAGATAAACCTGAAAAATAATAATTTTTTAAGAAATTAATATAATTAACCTCTTTCTGCATTATTTCCGATTGGGCGTACGCACAAGATATGCAAGATGTCTAAAAAAACATCACCTCAAAATTTTTACACAGATTTTCTCCAAACCGTATCTTTATCCATTAAGATCAATTTCATTTGAGGTCCCGCAAGATTAACCATTTCCTTAATCAACTGCCTACACGATGTTAGAATATCCATATCTGAAATGTTGCATTATCAAAAATCGATAGCATATACTTCTATTATATTTAGAAAAGGCTCATATCAACTATTTTTGAAATCATTAAAAAATAATGAAAAAAAAAATGAGACAAAAGCAAAAAAACTAGAAAATTGATAAAAGAAATAAACACAAAACACCGAAAATTGTGCAAATGTTTGATATACGAAACCGAAAATATCAATAATGAATGCGCAACAATGTTTATAATTCAACGAATTTGGGTAAGTGCGCCCCACTGCACTATATATGTTGGCAATTTCTATTGTCAACCCAACCAAATTTTCGATAAATTTCTGGGATTCAATTACGTTTTTTTCAGCATGTCAGCTCCGACAAGGGTGACTCCAGCGAATCCATTGAAAAATAAAATCGATCAAATTGTAAATAGGAAATTGAGTTTGGACAAGGTTTATTTAACTATATTTTCTATCAATTCTATCAATTTTCTTCAGGATTTCATGAAAGTTGTGGATTACGTTGCCCCGATGATGGAAAATCTTGACATTGATAATCATACGGAAAGAAAATTGTCGAGAAGGCTTGAGGGAAAGGACTTAGAGCTCAATAATGAGTATTTGGCTGAATTTGATAAAGTAACATCTAAAATGCTATGTTAAAACACTATATCGTATCAAAATTTGCAGGTTAATAAAATTGTACAACAATTCGACAATATTGTAAAGGAAATGAACAAATCTTGCACGGATTTGTGCGTTCGATTGGAAAATGTGAAGCAAACGAATACAAATCTTCTCAATCAAACGACACAACTTCAGGCACAAAAGTATAGTGTATTATTCGATGAGAAATGAAGAATACTGATTTAGAAAAAAGATTGAAGCCAAACAGAAGGCAATCGATTCTTTTCTAGACAAATATTCATTGACAGAAGCTGAAATGGAAGTTCTTGATTGTGAGCAAAAAGGTATAATTTCTAGCAAAAACTACCACAGTCGATTTATTTGAGTGGAAAATTTTGTTTAATAAAAAAAATCAGTGTATTCTGAAAATCATCCTAACATGGAGAAAACTTTTTCTGCTCAATGCATTTCTAACAGAAAAATTTTAATTTAACTAGAGTGCACCGCAGGCTAAATCTGACAGTGTTGTCTCAATCCCAGCTCGGAGGAATCCGACTTTTCCGATATTCCTCTCTTTCGAGACATACATTCAGTTTAAATATCCATTCTTTGAAATAAATGTGATTGCTTTAGCATTCGCATTTCAGATGTTCGATTGACTACCCAATTCTTTGCTGCCCTCAATCGAGCCAAAGAAATTCATGAAGAGAGCAAGGAAATGGTGAAAGTGGCTGGCAATCATCTCGCTGCTCTTGAGGTCATGGATTCGATGGAAGCGATTATGAAATCGGCGTACAGCACAATTTTCAACAAAATTTCCCGAGAATTCCGTTTATTGAGCTCGGATTTCGTTGATGCAAAAAGTGTGATCAGTCGCGCACTTGCCGCTCTTCAAGATTTTCCGTATATGCTTCAAGTTTCATTAGGTATTTTTATTTTTAATTGATGATTTAATTTTTAAAATTTTTTTAGATGAGTATTCTACAACTCGCGGCAATGATGTTCTCAGATTGTTCATCGAAGCCCTTACGAAGGGACCGCATGGTTCGGGAAAACCGATCGAAATGATGAGCCACGATAAAATCAGGTCATTAATTTCATGGCGCACTTTGAATTAAATATTTTGTAGGTATATTGGTGATATGCTCGCATTTATGTACGAATTAGCGGGAAACGAAAGAGAGCTCATTGAGCAGCTTCTATTCCAATGTCAACCGGAAGTTCTTGAGACAAACTCGATTAATGTGCTCAACAACATTACAAAAGCTCTAGCTGCTCCATTTAAAGTATGACCCTTCTGGTTTTTAACGCATGAAACGTTTATTCTTTAGGTGCGTGTTGAGCAATCAATTGCAAACGAATCTGACTGCGTTTCTCTTTATAAGATCTCCAATCTTTTCACATTCTATACTGAAAAATTAACACCATTAACTGGTGATAAGTCGGAGATTGTTGCAACTTTGAATGATTTGAATAACATCGCAATGGCCATGTTCCACGCCGGATTGATACAAGCTGTACAGAAAACATTATCGAAGGTTTTGGTCAATTTGAATATGGAGTGTTTTGAAAAATGTATTTCCTCTAGATGGGCGCGCCCGATTACGATCTGCTACCGGTCCAGGCTGTTCATCAATGTTTGATGCTTCTCCGAGAAGTTCTTGATACTCATGATGCCGGAATGGGAGCCAGAACTAATGCGAAACAAGACTTCCAGAAAGTTTTATAAACGCATTATATTAAAAATTTAATGTCAAATATTAAGATATTTGAAATTATTCTGGATCCACTTACAAGAGAAGTCCAATTGACCGCGACTCAACTTCATTCACCACTGGGTATGCATCAATTTAAACAAAAAATAATTTTAAAAATTTTCAGATGTTGCTGTCTACACTCTTAACTGCCTTTCTGCAATTCAATCCGTTGTAGTTCTTTATCAATTCACTGACCAGAGGCTGGAAATGATAGCTGCTATGGTATGTCAGACTTGTTTTAGCAACTTGAAATATTTCTAATTTCAGATTGAGGGCAATGAAGATGTTTTGGTTTCCGAAGAGATCTCTACTGTGCTTAGTACCACCAAACTGCTGAATTTGTACCAGAAGGCGTCAGCTCATAAAAAAGAACAGGGACCGTTATCTCAAGTCCCGGGAATGGAGCGTTCCGAAGTGTCCTCGGTTCTCAATGAATTTTCCATGTTTCTCCATAATCCAAACAGTTGCCGATTGGATCATGTTGCCAAAATTTCGAGCTCGAGAATACGGTAATAAATTTTACAATTGCGTTTTTTCTAACAAAACAATGATTTCAGTGAAACAGTCCGTACAAGAAGCATGTCAGAATTGCTTAAAGTTTACACATGCCTTGTTAGCAAATTCGAAGACGAGAGCAATGGTTATGGCGATATGCCATATCTGACGGTTGACCAAGTTAGCCAATTGCTCAAATTCAGCTTCATGCAGTAAACCTCACGAAATTTAAGTTATTTACACAGACTTGTGTAGTTATTTATTGAACCCTAATATGTTTATATATTGCATTTAAAACTTGTGATTAATCTAATGGGTGATTAAAGGTTTTTTGTCAATTAAATGTTCGAATGCGTTCGAGCAGGAATTTATCAAAATTACAGATTTATAAACGAGCTTTGAAGTGCACTACTACTATAGACGTTGATTTACAAAAATGTGATACGCACAGGTTACCAAAAATCAGCTATCCTTAAAAACCTTTTATTTAGTCTTGCTAGATATTTCATAGTTCTAATTTTTCAATTAGCTTGATGATTTTTTGTAATATTTTTATCAATATTGCCACGTGACCTGCAATATTTTAAATCAAGAGGACACACTGATTTTCAATTTAAAAGCAAAAAAAAATTTCACCAAATTTGCTATTTACTAGTCATTTCGAAAAAATAGAAATTCGAATTCTCATTTCGTAACATTAATTTAAACATGAGATTTCTGGTGAATTATCGCTTATCTCAATTTTTAAACTCTTCGATATGATTCGGGTTGGTAAAAAAAATTAATTTCCTTGTGGTTTCGTATTTAGCCACACACACACACAGACTATTAAAACACTTGTTTTCCTCATTTACCTCGATTAGGAAATGGTGTTGATAAAAACATTGAGACAAGTTGTTAAATGCTGACTTCATTCAGTTTTCAAGATTTGAAAATCCATTCTTTATCTTACATTTAACCAGTCAATCTAAAAAAAGGGTCGTTTAATGCTTCTAAAAAGGTACAAAAAATTGAACAAAGAAATTCATAAATTTAGGCTTCGAGGGCGGCCTTTTCGGCTTCGAGCTTAACTTGCTTTCTGGTTTCTTTCGAGATGTAATCAGCTGGGACCTGAAACAAAACAATTACGGAAATCTGAGAAAATCTTCAATTTTACAAGGTATCCGAAGATGTAGCGACGTCCAATCATTTCTCCGATGAAGAACCAGAAGATAACTTCAAGAGCGACGGCGGTGTAGACCATTCCTTCCTAAATCGAATTCATATAAATATTTCAAATTTCATTTGTTTGAAACTTACTCTGACGGTGAGATTTTTGTATTGTCCGTTGGTAATGAAGGTTTGCACCTTGGCCCAATCAGCCTTGATTGCTGGCCAATCAGCTTGACGTGGTGGAGCAAGCTCGTGCTTTCCGACAGCCTAAAACAATACAAAATTTATCAAGAAAAGCTTTTTAAGCAAATATTTCTTTAAATTTTCAAAAGAAAATCCAAAGAGATAATTTTTTTCAAAAAATCAATTCTCACAACTATTTTAATGTCCAAGGGTTCACATTATTTTAACAAACAACCTGAATTCAAGCATCTTGCAAAAAATTTAAAAAAATTCAAGCAAATTTTTTTGTTGCTTTTATTTTAAAGCTATTCCATGAAATAAAAATAAAATGTGTGTGACAAATTTTTGTGGATTTTTTCATTCAAATAATAAATAATATAGATTAGCACTTATAAATTACTTATCAGACTAATCGAAATTGAAACATTTCGGAGCAAATTCAGCAAAGTCTCGAAACAAAAAAAAAGAATACATTTTTAAAACCAAATATTTATTGTTTTGTATTTTCTACCAATTGTTTTAAAAACATTTTTAAATATACCTTCAAAATAGCCCAACGGCGTGGGAATTGCGAAGCCTGGTGACGGTACAACACACCCAAGGTGTTGGCGATTTTTTCGAAGAATCCAAGTTTTGGTGCCGCCATTCTGTAAAAAATTGCAAATTTTCATGAAAATCGAAGTGAAATTTGACGTAAACAATGTTGCTTGTGATTCTCAAAACATTATTTTGTCAAAATGACAACAAAAATGACAGAAAACAAGCAGAAATCAGGAAAAATCGCAGTTCTTCACTAGTGTACCGCCTTTTGGCAAGCTATTTTCACAACCCATCGCTGCGAGACCATCGTCAATAGAGCGCGTTTGCAGCAGAGCGCCGCGATAGGGGAGGTGCTAAATGATAATAAGAAGGTTCCGAAATTACATATTTAGATTGTGTAGGATGAATTGTATATATGGAAAGTGGGAACTAACGAAATAAAAATGAATATGTGCCAATTAAAAAAATTTTATAACATCCTGGCATTTTCTTCAAATCAAAAAGCAAAATTTACTTTTTTTTCAGATAATTTTTTAGTAATTCTCATCTATTCGATAGCACATTAATATAGTAATAAATACAAATATATTTTTTTAATGAAATTTCGAGGCGTTTTTCTGATTTAACTTTTTTTCAGTTCAGACAAAAATTTTTGTTTGAAAACAATAGATTGTCAAAAAAGGCGCTATTTTCGATTCCAGGAACCTTTTCGTACTAACAAAATAACACGCAAATTAAGAAAATGGGCGACCAATTAGCGGTCTTGCTCGAAAATCAATTCCTTGCGCCAACAATGCACAAATATCACGTATTTGCGGCATTATTATTTATATTTCACTATGTAAATTGTTTGCGAATCGGTTCTGAGGAAGTTATTAATTCAACCTCTCATTTTTATATTCAGGCATTATAACCACGCCGGATTTGGAAAAAAGTGTGCAACATGTCGTCAATTCAATCACTCCGCTCATTTCGAAAGAAAAAGTATTCACAAAATCTGAGTGTCAATTAAAGAATACTTATTATATCATTTTCGATAAGAAATCGTATGACTATCTTAACACTAAAAGCGAGTTGTCATATTTGACCAACTGAAAATCAAATTGATTTTCAGTTTGTGAGCTTGCACGAGCTGATGTCAGTGTAATAATTGGAGTTGTTCGCCGGGAAATTGGCGAAATTATAGCTGAACAATGCGCTGAATATAACATTCTATTTATTCATCATTACTGGACGCCGGGAAATACCGAGTTTGGCACGAAATCATTTTCAAGCATGATGCTATTCATTTTCAGAAGTTTCAATAACTCGTTAAACCTCTATCCAGCAAACGAGTATTCCCAATTGATGGAACGATTGATTGAAATATGGAAGTGGGACTCATTTGTCTACATTTATTCGAACCACGATGCTCCAAAACAGCTAATCGAAACATTGTCCAAACTCGAATCAAGTCCAGCTCTGATTCGAGTCCAAAATTCTGATGAATCGATGATGTCGACTGCTTTAGCGCTTCGTGAGAATTGCGAAAGGTACTTTTAGCCGGTTCAATAATCATTTTCTAACGTATCGATTTGATCATTCAAGAACACGCTGTTGGTTGCGAAAAAATAGAGTGTTGATCGAGCTCAGTCCGAACGAAACTCTTCGTTTTTTCGATGCTTCATTAAAGTTGGGAATGATCAACAAAGACAATTGGTTTATGGTCACTGCTTTGGTATTCTTTTTAAAATGTATTCTCATATTTCGACCAGTTTTCAGGATAATCTTGTTGATAACATGGCTCAATATTCGCACAATGAGATGAGAATCTCTTTATTGAGCCTATCAAAAGAACATTGGAATTCCGAATATTTTTCATCTGATGTGTTCAAGGCGTACAATAGTTATCGATTGACGACTGATTCTTTAACACCATTTGTAAGATCTTAAATTACAAATTAAAGACAAAACAATAACAACAAAATGATTCTGCGTTCGGGGGGAATCGAACCCCCGTCGAATGCTTGGAAGGCATCCATGCTGACCATTACACCACGAACGCTCATATCTTCATCGAAACGTGTTGTGTAGATATGACACTTGGTTTGAAATATTATAATCCAACGCATTATGCATTCATTCTCTCGTCGTCGCGCTATAATGTCTTAACGACTTCCCATGCCGCCGACATGGGCGTTCGTGGTGTAATGGTCAGCATGGATGCCTTCCAAGCATTCGACGGGGGTTCGATTCCCCCCGAACGCAGAGTGATTTTTGTTATTTTTTTAAGGAATAGGTTGTTTAAACTTTTTGAAAATCATTATTTCTTTTTTTGTCTCAACGGTGAAAAAAAAGTTACATAAAAAATAATAAATTTCATGAGAAGGTTGAATTTACTTTTTTTGTGAAGCATCCAATTGCATTTTATATATTTTTAGATTGAATTGCCTTATTTACTTTTCACGAAATTTTTTATTTTGTCATAATACTTTCTCTCTTTCTTATATATGCCCTCAAGGCAAAACCGCATCGTTCAGGAAGAAAAATCTAGAAAAAGCGTGTTGTCGATGAGAGTCCAGAGATGCAAACGCTCAGCATATATTGACTGCAAAGCATTGCGCTTATGTGAGCGTTCGTGGTGTAATGGTCAGCATGGATGCCTTCCAAGCATTCGACGGGGGTTCGATTCCCCCCGAACGCAGATTGTTTTGCTCTATTTTGTTGAAGTGAAGGAAGAATAATTTCTATAGGTTTCTTCTAGGAAGAAGGGTTGTCACACTGGAGACCCTGTTTTTTGAATCTTAGCAGGAGAAATTTTAATGTATACAGGAGGACATGTTTTTGCTATTAGCCGTTGTGGAAAATCCAAGCGAGACTCTACGGGCCACGGAGTACATACGATTGTTGCACCACAGAGTCGCGTGAAAATGGTGGCTCGCGTGGACCAAAAAGTATTGTATGTGAGTGTTATATGCCTCCATAAGTATAAGTCGCAAGATTTCTGGTCCTGTATACTTCGTATGTGGACCATTTCGAAAGGTTCGAATTTTTGCGGCTCATTCTCTCTTTCCCATAAAGGGAAGACAGTCCCAAAACTTCATATAGACATCACTTGATTAAAATGGATTGAGCGCTTGCCGTACCTCAAACTTGGGTGAAAAACCAAAAGCTACTGCGGTCATTTATCGGGATCGTCACAAACTTTAAATATATGCTTATATGCTTCTTATTAGATTTGATATCACCCATCTGTCTCACAAACAACATTGTTGCAATCTGTGTAGATAGAGGAAAATGAAAACGTATTATTTCAATGACGCTTTATCGCAATGTTATTGGGATTCTAGTGCATGAAAAAACAGAAATTTTAGTAAAAAAAATAATTTTCGATTCGAAAAATTAAGTTTAAACGAGTGATTCCAGAATGATTTCGCGTTCACATTCGATTCGCTGCTGATCGCATGCAATGCAGAACCGCGAACGATTCGAAAATGCTTCGAACCCGAGGAGGACTATACTACACATTTTAACTTACCAATCATAAAGGTATGAAGGTCGTCTTTTATGAAATCATATAAATGTTTCAGCCGATAAAAGGCTTGACAGGAATAATTTCTTATAATGAGACAAGTGAAAGACGAGACAGTGAGCTTCATATATGGGAAATGGGAGTCAATGGAAGCTCTTTAAAAGTAATAATCTTTCAGTAATTTCAAATTACAAACATTACAATTCAGATAGGAAACTGGAAATCAAAATGGGAGGGCTCCAAAGAGCTGACAATGCGATCGAAGAGTCTGCCAGGAACTCACGATTACCAACTAACTCTCAAAAAAGAGGTATCCCAGTTTTGGCAAATGGGTTACTCCGAATCATATTGAAGGAACGTATGCTCACAGTAACGTCCATTCACGAAAAACCATATGTCATCGAGAAAATTCTGCCGGATGGACAAATCGTTTATGAAGGGTTCTGTGTGGATCTTCTTGACAAACTTGCGGCGAGTCTTGACTTTGATTATAAGCTCAAAATTGTCAAGGATAATAAATATGGAGAACGTGACAATATTACTGGCCAATGGGATGGAATGATTGGCGAAATACTCCGAGGAGATGCCGATATGGCTGTTGCTCCAATTACAGTCACTGCTACTCGATTAGAGGTCATCGACTTTACGGACCCGTTTCTTCAATTAGGAATTTCAATGTTGATGAAACAACCGAATGAGAAAGCTTCATCTTCATTGACAAGATTTCTATGGCCTCTTTCGGCGAGGTAAATTGGATTATTGCCGCAAATTAGAAGGCTGACACTTGTTTTTTCAGTGTTTGGACATTTTCGGCAATTGCCACCGTGCTCACTGCTCTTTTGGTTACGGTGGCTGCAATGCTAACACCGAAAGAATCGACAACGGAATTCAGCTTACAGAATTCTGTGTGGTATTTGGTTTGCATATTGCTGCGCGCTGGATCTGGGTACAATTGTCAAGCAGGAGCAACAAGGTTTCTAGATTTCTCTTAAAACTATTACAGATTAGGATTTTTAGATTGATATCAGCTGTTTGGTGGACATTCACATTGGTTCTCATTGCTCAATATACCGCCAACTTTGCTGCTCTTCTAACAGTTGAGAGAAAGTATATTCCGTTTAATGTAATTATTATTATGTCTGATATATTTCGCAAAACAAATAATTTTCAGAGTTTTGAAGAGCTGGGAAATCAAAGTGAATATCAATATGGGGCAATTCTTGGCGGCTCCACCATGCAATTCTTTAAATATTCGCGAATTGAAACATTTCGACGAATATGGGAGGGTATGAAGAGCGCGACGCCATCAGTATTTGTGAAAACTAACCAAGAAGGAGTGCACAAAGTGCTGAATGAGAAGTAAATTTTTTTCCAATTAACTTTTGAAATTATGTTTTCTCTTTTTCGATACGTTTTTCTCATGGAGAGCGCTACATTGGATTATCAAGTGACCCAAAATTGTAATCTGACTCGGGTGGGAAACGTGGTTCTCGGATCGAATGGGTACAGCATCGCACTTCCCAAAGGCTCCAAGTGGAGAGAGAAGCTAACAAGGCAGATTTTGGATCTGAACGAAAAAGGTGTCATCCTGATGCTCAAGAATCAGTGGTGGAAGAAAGCCCAACAGTCAGCCTTCTTCTAATTTCAACTTTTATTTCTATTCTTCAGAGATTGCGCTTCAAATGCTCCAGAAAAGGATCAATCATCTCTGGGCGCCGAAAATGTGTACGGATTGTTCCTCCTTCTGTTTTTTGGCTGTTGTGTCGGCTTCGCATGCTCAGTGGCTGAGAACTTACATTTCAGCTGTTTGAAGAAGCAAAAGAAAAACGGCCAACTTTCGGCATTGCAGCAATTAATAGTAACACTGCGAAACGAATTTTTAAACATTCAAGAGATCAGATAAAAAATTGAAATTTATGCGTGGTGGAGACAAAAAAAGAACAAACATTTTGGTAATAAATGGGATACCCATCAGCCAATCATACATATAAATAAGCAGCAACGTTATTTTCAAAAAATGAAAAGAACGCGTACGGAGATCATAAATGATGCCTACTACCCAGAAAAAGCTACAAATTTGTTAAATAATTGTGATATAACTATTAGTGGACATGGGCGACAACCGCGGAAACTTGACTATTGACTTGTAGGGCATTGCGAAGAAGCGAGCTTTTGCGTTTCACATAACATTGATTATCGATATGAGGACTACACTGTGTCGAACAATCCCATTTATTGGCTGAAATAATCTTCGAATTTTTGGTTTCCATTGCTCAAAGAATTACCTGAAACGGGAAACCGGGCCGGTGAACCAGGCGCTTCCATTATAATGGCGATATCGGATAAAAATGGATCAAATGGAACGTCATTTGCAGTTGGTTGATCACATTGAACCGCCTGAAATTATTCAAATTCCAGTTTTTTTTATCACAATCTATCCCATTTGTAGTGAGTTGGTGGCAAAGTTTGCACATTTTGGCTAACAAAAATATGAAAGTGGGTCTGATGATTGATTTTCTCGTTTTTCAAACATTAAAAAAACTAACTTATATGCATTGAATAAAAGGCACTAAACGCATAAAAAAATATTGGAATATCGCATTTTTGCTGTTTGAATATAATATGAAATGTTGATATCTGAATTACTTTAATGAAATAATCGCCAAAATGTAGCAAACTTTATTTTCCACTAACTCAGTGGCTTGCAGGGACATGATTTCATGCATTAAGCCATTTCAAAACATAGCTCAAACTCTCATTCATTGCATCGCAAAAAAAGCAGAAGTATCAAACCAACGACACACATATAATATAATACAGAATAGGGTTGGCTAATCATTTCGGTACCTTAGCACATATCGTATATTTCACAGTTCGGAATAGCCTGAAAGCGCATTTGTTCGAATAGACTTTCCATGTTAGTAATATGGCACTTGTAAAAAAAACATGAGAAATAAGCGAAAGAAATTTCAGCGGGTGTATTTTTTCACGCCGAACTTGGCTACTTTTCACTTTCGAAGAACTAAAAATCAACAAGCGACAGGCTCTTTTCAAAAATCAGCATTGAAATTTTAGTGTGCTTGAAACTCCATTAAAAAGGAAAAAAATAGATTCAGCAATTGGGTGCGAGAGCGTTTCAAAGAAAACAACATAATTTTAAACGTTTTCCAATTACCTTATCCTTCTTCATAAATTTCTCAGGATTTTCCGAGACTGCTGAGATCAGCGTTCCATTTGGAGAGCAAACAACCATGGATTGCCTGGAAAACAAAAGATAAAATTTTTGAGAATCGCACGCTGGCAAGAAGAAGCCCGTCAATTTTAAAATTGATGCGAATTTTTTCTCCAACATCATTTTTTTGTAAATTATGGGTTCTTGGAAGCATTTTCCTATTTTTCAATCATTCAACCTCTTATCGTCGCTGTGATCCGTGATGCCTTGCACAAGGGCGAACGTCGTCGAGTTGTCCTTGTCGCGTATCGCGTGAGCCAACATTTTCCCGGTAAACATCTGGAAATCATTTCATTGCACATGCCAAATATTAACACGTCTCGAATTGGTGAGGGCCTGATAATTATTTTTGGTTTCACCTGTTTGACAACGTCCCGGAATTGCTGAGACATTCCGCAATAGATTGCAAATCGGAAAGGATATGAAACCACTATTAGAACGTTTCTGAAAAAAAAACGAAGAAAATGTTAGAAACATTGAAATTCGATTCGTGTTGTTACCGAACAATTAGAAGAATATTAAGAAGCTGATAATCCACAATACTCAATCTCAATGATACTGAGATCACATGAACCATAAATATCAAAGCCGCCGGGATTTCCGTGATAAGGAATAATAAAATGACAACAACGAGCATTCGAGTATTCTGCTTTAAACCGTGCGCTCGTTTAGGTTCACTGATGCTATCGCGCTGCCTAAAAAGCCTAACAAGGCGATTCTCGTTGTCAGATGAAGATGTCATTTCAGAGAATTTACGGCGAGTCGATCTAAATTGATGAAATATTTGATTTATTAAGCAATGAAGATAAAACCTATTCGAGTTTGACGGATATTTTGCGAGAAGTGTCGCGTGTCGCCTATCAGCCAATCGAATAGCCGCCACCAGTTTCCATGTGAAAATTACTAAAAGGATGCACGGTATTAAGTGCACAAAAATGGTTTGGGCCGAAAACGTCAAATTATAGTAAATATTTTCGCCGATCGTCTGAACCAGTGCAGTTTTATATCGATAACAAACGCGATGGGTTCCTAGAAGCAAAAGTGCAAATTGTTTTCATGCGAATGACATAATCCTCTTACTATTCTTTGAATGGTCAATTATATCATGTGATCGGTTTTTTGAAGAAAATAAATCTGGCGTATTCATTGCGGCAGAAAGAACACAGATTACAGCAATCACCTGCAAACAACAACTAATTTAAGCGGCAATTGTGGAATGCGTGTACCTGCTTGCTTCTATGAATCGTACAGAATTTTCGGACCAGCGATGGAATGCAGATATAAATATATCGTTGGATGGCCAAATAAACAGTCAGCCAAATTGCCATTGTATGAAATATTGATGGAAGATACGCTGCCATATAAGGGATTGCAGCGCACCAGAATGATGGTAGACCATGTTGCAAATCAGTTTTATAGCCTATATTTTCGTTCAGTGTTGAAATTTAATAAAAATTGATACCTGACAACGTGTAGTAGTAAGTGAACCAAGGCATGCAAGAAAGACCGGTGAGGAGTTCGGAAACAGCCATTGCCAACAATACATAATTGGTTGGGGTCCGCAGATATTTATGTGATAATACAACAACGATGAAACTGTTGGTCGCAACGGTAAGAGTGACTATGAATGGCATCATATATCCATACATGGGAACGGCCCATTCAACCGGCACCTGCAATTTTGATGCATTCTTCCATGGATTTGATTTCTATTGACATACCTGATTTGCAATGAACATTGGTCGACATGTCCGGTTGTGATAGCATGCCGGATGGTCGACCGTCATATTCATGAATTCCGATTTGCGAGCCACTATGAAATGCGTCTGCAAGCTATCGCATGCGCCTCCGAAAGAAAAATCACCTGAAACATGAAAAATGGGAGATGGCTGCTTTGAGTTATTTCTTGGCGCAATTTTGTTCTTCGGAATTTCGTCGAGAAAATTCATATCGAAAAACAAATGCGGATCGCTAATAACCGAAGAAAATGAAACGGAAGTGGATTAGTCATGGGTTTTTTGTAACAAGACACGATGCAAGAATATGCCAAATTGCACTTTATTAAGCGTGATGGGGGAAGAGCAGCACGTCACATCGTCGAATTTCTAAAATCCTTTCACACTCTTTTTTTTTTATAAAAGATGCAATACTTTATAATTAGTTGGGTTCTAGAAAGAGAGTAAAAATTTTATTCACCAGTATAATCTCTACAAGAGTATTATCAAAACATAAGCCTCTTGAGTAAAAAATCGAAAAGTATAAAGTTAAAATACGGAGAAAAAATATTTCATATAATGATCTTAGAGGCTTCTATTGGATGAGATATTCTTATGATTCAATTTATTCTTCTCCCTGTTAGTTGGAAAATATGCATTGCGTAAGATATCCGCCGCAAAACTACTGGAAAAAACATGTTACGCATCAAACTAGATTGATATCTATTTGATTTCATTCACACATCTCGAATAAACATGTCTGGATGAAATTCACAGAAATTGTAAAAAAGTGCAATGACATTTTTTTCCCTACGTCAATATTTATGAAATGTCAAAGAGAGCCACACCCGTCGTATTCAACAGTTTTTTACTATGTTACATCATTTGTCAGTTCATTAGGAAAGGCTCTTTCCGAGTTTTTCATCTAATCAAGGACAATTAAGATGGCGAGCAGACCAACATGTCAGTTGAATTGGAAATTGAGAAAATGACGCAAAAAAAACATGAAGCTGCAAAATGGATTAAGTAAAGATTAATAAACCTAACAGCAGACTTGCATTTTGATATTAAAAGGATATCACATGATTTGCTAATGCAAATAAAGTCAACGAAATTTGTTTTTCTATTGGTATCAAGGGATTCCTTTGAAATGAATTCAACCAAAGTTCTAATTTTTCTTATGGGAGGTCTTATCTAAATGTACCTTTATAATTCTATATAGTATGTTTGGAACAATTTAAATTAATTGGAAAGGATCACAAACGTGGATACAATCATGTCAAAAGGATTATGTGATCCGACTAGAAATCAAGAATTAAATGCATTTATCTTAAATTTCATTCCGAAATATTAAAGAAGTCGTTTAATCTAGCTACTTAGCATTGTTTCTACTTTTTACTAGTATAGTTCTATATTGGGGAAGGTTGGGCGTAAAAGTTCCTGCTCTTCGCATCAATGAAATCAGTAAATGGAGAGTCCAAAGTATGTCGCAAACTGTTAGCATCCGATTGATGAATCAAATTAGTCGGACATAGGCAAAGTCGAAATTTGATAGTTTTCTTTATACACTGCTTCTCCATAAAAAAGGAACTCAAGGAATTCGATTTCGACACCTCCCCCTCCTTATTAGAGCGGGGCGGATTTTTTTTAATTGTATAAAAAAGAACAACTCGAAAAATAAGGAGGGTGAAAAACAAGGAGATGCATGAAAGAATCATTGAATAAGAACGCATCTTAAATGATTCATTGACCGCAAAAACTAAAGTCAATCAAATGGGTGGATAATGCAGATGAGAACACAAGTGACCGGAGAAAAATCGTCTGGCAAACGGTTACTCATCTTTGAGAGCGTGAAACTTGTTAATGAACCGAAATCGGAAACCATGCATTGCGAAAACGAAAAAGAGGAAAACGACATGAATACGCCACATCAAGAAGCAGCATGAATTTAAGACAAATAAACCTAATTGGAACGAAAACAGTGAGCGACACGCAATGGAAAAACGACTAACATTATTTGATATTGTAAGCAAAAACAAAAGATATCTGGTATATGTGTTTGGTTCGATTGGAATTTCTCAAAAATCGTATTAAACGCAGAATTGTTAAGCCCCGAGCTTTTCTGTTCGTAGAACATAATGTTAATATGAATTTGTGAACGCGAATTTCCGATTTCAATTTGTAGAATCATGGATTTTTCCTTCGTTATAATAAAAAGTGTTTGATATCTTCTGCATTAATCAAAATAATTAGCCTGCAGATTTTGAAATAAAAATTTGAAAAAAGCTAGTTGAAACTCGTTTTTAGCTGATCTGCAAAGGAATTTTGAGAGATTTTGACAGTTTCTTAGGTTTTTTTTGCGAAATCACAACAGAATCATGATTTTGTTAATATAAATTGATTGATTAAGCTGCAGGTGGAAATTCAATAGATGAGGCAACACTATTGCATTTCAATACTGTAGATTTTTGGCCAGCGACAACCAAACGTGAGAGGGTGTGGCTTAATGTGGGCTGGACCATGGCGAGATGTATAATTTTACTAAAAGAGACTTTTATGTTTTTCGATCTTCGTAGAACGAAATAATCAGCAGAACGAAATAATCGACTCAGAATGTTTACAGAATTAGAAAATTTTTAAAAATAATTTCAATATAGGGGTTAAGTTGCAATTGAGCCTTATTGACAAGAAGAAATTTGAATGAATGTAGAAAGTGGAAATGATTGAAGAAAATACGTCTTACGCATTATCATAAAAGAGCACACCAAGTATCAATTGTAGCTTTACTATAGACTGATTACCTAATTTATGTTCTAGAAATTGTTGGTTGGAGGAACAAAATCGACTTGGTTTGAAAATGAATAGATTATTTCTAGTCTGGCAATTTAAACAATACTAACCTAATTTTGATGGGAAATGATGATCAAAAACCGCAAAAACTAACAGAACTTGTGCGAAATGAACTGGAAGTATTAAAAAGTGAAGAAGGCATCAAACAACTGCAGAGTAAGAAACGTTTAATCCATAGATCGGACCAAATTAATAGGAGTACACCTTAATTGAAAGGAAAAAATATTAGATACCAGAAAATTGAAAAAAAAAATGGATTGGTTTGTGTATTTTTGAAATTCTGGAAAAATAAGAGCAACGTAATATTATTTGTTAGTAAATTGAGAAAAAAATAGACAATTTTTGGTCCACTGCTTATCCTTACGTCTTTGAAAACTTCCGCTTTCCGCAATGAATGTGTCAAATAATTCATTTATTCCCAATGTTCAAGGGAGGCCCCCCGGTGTTATCAGGAAGAGGCGTTTTTGACGAAAGAGGGGCAAACAAAAAAAAATGAGCAAACGATGGGGGTTTTGGGCGATGAAATGAAATTTTTCGAAATGGCCTTCATGGAATATCTCGAACAATATAATTAAGCCTTCAAATCTTTGGGCTAAACAAAACGCCAGAGTCTTAACGCTGAAGGATCAAAATGCTCTCATGTTTCAAAAGTATAATATGAAGAAACAATAAGGACGGCCTTCAAACCTAATTTGCAATTCATAACATTCCAAAATTAGCCTCAACAATTTGAGCAACTCCATTAATTGGTTTGACATATTGCCGCAATTTCTTGAGGCATGTTTTTTTAAATAGTCAATTCAAGTTTTAGTGATGTGAATAGGATAGGAGATGAAAACTTTATTTTTAGTTTGGGTGTTTGCCATTTCCCATATATAAACAAGTTGTGAGGATGTTGCTGAAAATTTCTTCAGCTTTTAGCGACATATTTTCGCTGAAAGCCAAATCTTTGAGATTGTTCATGTTTTACTTAAAATGGCCTAATATAGAGGAAATTTTGCGTTCCTCTGCTTTTTTGATATAGAAAGTTTTTATTCGAAAACTGTGTCATTTTTCAAGATGGACCAATTGATGAATAAGCTTTTCTCATGATTATCAGACAACTAAAATGCTGAAACTGTATGTTATAGTGAGACAAAATGGTTTCCTCGAAAAATTGGCTTCAATCGTCTGACAATTATTCAAAAAGTTATTCAAATACGGCACCTGAAAATTCCGAGATTTAAAAAAATTGCAGACAGGATGAAGGCGAAACCATCCGCCCACTCGATTTCAATTTTCACAAAAACAACACGTGGTTTTCCTTTGAAATCTCTATTTTCATACATATCCATATAATTATTTTCCCTAATTATAAATGCACTATTTTCATAAGCAGACCGGAAAGTGCCCCAACGCGTCTGTCGATTTTTTTTTCACAAAAAAAATACTATACACACGCACGCATACATGTATATACATTCAGTGATAGTTTTGAGCTTGCCAAACTTCAACAATTATTGTTCTTATGGCCCCCAATTTTTTCTACACATGCATAGACTTGCCAGATTCAAAAAACAAATTATTCACCTCAATCCGTTCCATCAACAATATGGGCATTGTATTGCTTAGTGAATGGAGGGTATTCAGGAAATAAAAAAATGTACATGCATATATCGATAAAAAATTGAAATGTATAAAAATTTAAATGCAATTCGTTGTAGAGGTGAATGCATAGATGGATTCGGTCGGTGGTTTGCGTGAGAATCACATTCGAAAAATTGGCTTCATTGCGTCGCCTATTAGAAGCGGCTGGCAAAACTGCTCAACTCAAGTAGTATTAATTGGAAAATACAACATTTCCCACGTAACCCCGCTCAAGCCCGACTTTTTATTATTTGACGCGTTGGATTTTCGGTCAAATTCACCAATAATTAGTTTCATTGAATATAAACAAACAAATAATGGGAAGCATAGTAAGAATATGAATTTCGCCAAAACAACAGCCATATTTGTTTAGAAAAAATTTTCTAACCAAAAATGACGTTGTAAGTACAATTTCGGGCTGGCCGAGTTTCGCCGAACGAAAATAAACTTTTGGTACAACAGGGATTTTCGCATCACTAGTATGGATCCAGAACGATGTAAACAAGGAAATCCGTCTTTCGAGCGCTCTTCAAACAACATGTGTTTTGATTGAACAGAAACTTTTATTCATATGCCATAATCAATCATTTCCGGTATATAAA